AAGAGCACTTGCTGTTCTACAAACAAACAAACAGTTTGACGTCCAGCACCTATGTCAGTCAGGCAACTCATAACTGCCTATAACTCCAACTCCAGTGGGATCCACACACACACACACACACACACACACACACACAAATAAATCTAAATCTAGGCTTTTTTCTTTTTTTAAAGACACGGTCTTGCTATACAGCACAGGCTTGCCCTGAACTCTCAATGGACCTGTCTCAGCTTCCCAAGTGAAGAATTACATGTGTACCATGCTGGACGTAGAATTTAAATATTGAAAGACTAAGAAAAAAATTTGTCTGTCTTCACTTAACAAAAATATTAAGAATCAACCTTTACAACTATTGAGTAAATTCAGAAAGTGGACCAAAAAAATCAGTGAAAATTGCAAACTGTTAAACGGTCACTGCAATGAGGATTTCCTGCTTTGGCGCCAGTGGATTCCCACCAATCACAGAACAAAATCCAACATGTCCACGTCCTGTCAAACTCCTCACTGTACGACCTGCTGCCTTTTCAGCCTCGGTTCTCTCCCCATGTCCCGTAGCTCCTCACACACATGCCCTGTATGCTTTGACGTCAGGGCCTTTGCCCAGGCAGTCCCAGCCTTGAAAGTCTCTTCCTCTCGTTTTTGCGTGGTCTTTCCTCTGGTGACTCTTACACCATGAGGATCATGAATCACAGTGAAAAGCCATCCTGTCCAGTGTGTCTCAACCCACCCCTGCCCCAGTGATCTAGAGGCCAGACCCACCCATATCTGACTACAGATCTTGGAACACAAGTGGCTGGCACACTATAGGCCTCTGGTACCCACTGTGCATCAGCTAACTGAAACTGTTTCCTCTACAGTGCTGGTTGGCTGCCCCCACGCCATCCCAATGACTGGGCCTCACCTCTGCGCAGGAGCCTGGCCAGGCCGCAGGATGGGCCTCCTGCCATAGCCAGGCGATGCAGGCGGCCCAGCTGGGCATCTGGATCCTGCACAGAGCCCAGCTCCACTGGGAAGCGTGAAGCCTGCGAGTGCATCTGCAGCGGTCGCCTCAGTCCATTCCGGATAGGGAAGAGCTAGAAAGGTTCATGAGACCAGGAGGAGGTAAAGGATACTTCTAAAAGCCAATTAAACAATAAAGACGGGTGGGCTGGAGTGATGGCTCAGCTGTTAAGAGCACTGGCTGCTCTTGAAGAGGACAGGGGTTCAGCTCCTAGTTATGGCAGCTAACAACCATTCAAAACTCCAGTTCCAGGGGCTCTGACACCCTCTTCTGGCCTCCATGGGCACTGTACACACGAGCGCACTTACATACAAGCAGGCAAAATGTTCATATACATAAAAGTAATTTTTTTTTTTGGTCTTTTGAGACAGGGTCTCCCTGTAGCTCCAGCTGGCCTGAAACTCACTATGTAGATCAAGCTGGCCTTGAACTCAGAGAGATCTGCCTGCCTTTGCCTCCTGAGTGCTGGAATTAAAGGCACGCACCACCATGCTGGGACATAAAATAAAAATGAATTTAAAAAAAAATTGAAAAAAACAAGACAGGGCTGGCTGAGGGTAGAGGGCTGTCTAGTTGGGAAAGGAACTCAGGAGGGTCTGATGGGAAAGGAGGCAGCTGGTGGGCCCAGGCAAGGAGGAGCTATACCCCAAAAGGCCAGAAGCCTAAGTGAGTCAGTAGCGAAGGGGATGTGAGGAAGCCCGGGGGCTGGGATAAGGGGTTTTAGCACCAGGACAGGGCATTCCAGTGTAGCCAAAGGGCTATGTGGGCAGGAGCTGAGCCTGTGGAAAGCTCTCCTGTATGAAAGGGCATAGGAGGCTCTGGGGGCTGCAGGTGGTTTAGGATCTAAGGTGGGATGTAAGGTCTGATGGCGGGATCCAGGGGCTAGGGACAGTCTAGGGGTGGAGGTATGGAGGTGGAGGGTTTCCACAATGAGTGGGGTCTGTGTGAAAGTGGGGCTGGGCTGAGGCTGGAGGCAGTCTGTAGATGGAGGGGGTGTGGTGAAAAGCCCAGGGTCCTAAACGCTCTCAACAGTTCTAAGCCCACCTACCGTTGAGCTCAACCATAGTCTCCACGTGACTGCCACGTGACTCTGAAGCCCAGCAAGGCTCTCTGCCTCGGAATCCTAGGCGCACGAGCATCAGAGTCCCTCTGCCAGCTTGCATAGTAAGCAAGCTTCTACTTCCCCTAAGAAGCCGCCCCCACCATCTTGGAGTGAGACGAAACTGTGACATCCACCCCCAGAGGTCTCAGCTGGCTCTGCTTTGCCCACTCAGGACCCCTGCAGGCCCTCTCTTGACTCCTGTACTGCATCCGGGACTGTCTTCCCATGCGTCTCACTCACTTGGATGACTGTTTCCAGTCTTTCCCTTGAACCCCAACACCGGAAGGTCTTCAGGAGGCCTCCGCTTGGGGATTGTCAGGACCATCATGCTACCCGGGTCCCAACCTCAGAATCACCTGCAAACCCTTTTCTCTCAGGTCCCCATCTTTAGGATGGCCTCATTGCCCTCTTCCTGGGTATGGCTACCTCCCTCCCATTCCTGCCCCATGACCCATTCTCTCAGCCGCCTTCTTCCCCACCCCAGTCCCGACCTTTCCCAACCTTGCCTGTCTCAGAAACAGGTAGGGAACCACCACAGAGACAGAAGGCAAATAAATTCTGGGTCCCTAACCTGTTACCCATTTAATCATGAAATGTTTCCTTCTGCCTCCCTCTTATAGTCCCCCAATAGCTTTGTCATAAAGCACAAGAACATTTACAGGGGCTGGTGAGAGGGCTCAGAGCACTGGCTGCTCGTCCAGAGGACCTGGGTTCTGTTCCCAGCAGCCACATGGTGTTGCCTGTAACCCCAGTTCCAGGGGATCTGACACCCACGTCTGACCTCTGCAGGCATTTTACACACAGGCGCACTTACATACATTCAGGCAAAACACCCATACACATAAAAATAAATGAAATTGTTTTTAAAAAATGTTTAAAAGTTAGGAGCCTGGCTAAAACAAAAACAACCGATCAGCCAAAAAGAAAAAAATATTGTAGGCTGCTTTTATTGAAAACTCTTGTTTTTGTTTTTTGAGACAGGGTCTCACTATGTAGCTCTGGCTGTCTTAGAACTTGCTAGGTAGAGCAGGCTGGCCTCAATCTCACAGAGATCAGCTTGCCTCTGCCTCCTGAGTGCTGGAATTAAAGGCCTGCACCATCACGCTTTTTTTCTTTTCTTTTGAGATAGGGTCTTACTGTGTAGCCCAGGTTGGCCTTGAACTTACAACCTCCCATCTCAGTTTCCCTAGTGCTGGTATTTCAGAGGTGCAGCATCACATCCAGCAAACACTGACTCTTCCCTGGAGGCTGTAGACAATTGATGGATGAGTCATGTGGGGGGAGAAGGCTTGGCATCTCCATCCTTGTGCCAGGCCTGTCTCCTTCCTGCCTCAAACTTAGTGAGACTCTAGTCAACTCCAGACGCAGACAAGTTGATCCTTTGAGAACTGTGTTGTTAAGACTATAATTCAGAGTAAACTTAGCCTATGGCCCGTTGAAGTGAATGTGTGTTTTTTCTACCCAGTCCCTGCACAAAAAACCCTTGTCATAGAATCAGAACATACTAGCCTTTAGCCTTGTCATAGAATCAGAACATCTATTCAAGATGACCCAAGCTGTAACTCAGCAGCCCCTGAACAGCACTGACCACCCCTTAACTCACTAAGTACAAGGGCAGGCTGCCTATACAAGAAGGACATCTGGATGGGGGGATCTCGTGTAGCCCTGACTGGCCTTGAAATTACATCAATGTGTAGTCGAGGATGACCTTGAACTCCTGGTCCTCCTGCCTCTACTTCCTAAGTGCTGGAATTACAGATGGACACCTAGCTTGAAGAACATCCTTTTTAAAAAAATTTTTTTTGGCCTCCCTGTAGCCCCAGCTGGCCTGGAACTCACTATGTAGACCAGGCTGGCCTTGAACTCACAGAGATCCATCTGCTTCTGCCTCTTGAGTGCTGGGATTAAAGGTGTGCGCCACCACGCCCGGCTTTTATTTTTTAATATTTTATTATTTTTATTTTATGTGTATGAGTATATTGCCTGCGTGTATGTCAGTGCAATGCTGTGGAGGTCAGAAGAGGGCATCAGATTCCCCTGGAACTGGAAGGAGGGTTCATTGCTGCCATCTGGGTGCTGGGAATCAAACCCGGGTCCTCTGCAAGAGCAGTCAGTGCTCTTTTCCGCTGAGCCATCTCTCCAGCCCGAAGAACATCTTTTGTCTTTTTAAACAAAGCTCATGCATGAATAAGGAACAATGAACAAACCTTTGCCCACTCTCTCACCGAAAATACCAACAAAAGCCATTTGCTCAAGTGAGCATCTGGTCTATGGTCAGTACTGGCTCCCTTCAGCTTGACTCTTGGCTTAAGTTGGCTGTCTTGAGTTTGGTCCTGATCAAGAAGGTTTGCCTAACTTGTTTGTAACATGCAGCTGGGTCTTGCTTGGTCTCATTTCTAATGTTTCTGTGACACAGGAGACCACTATCTCATCACCACACTCTGGCCCACCCTCTACCCGTAACCCCCATGATCCACTGGTGCTTCCGGAACAAGCCCCGAGGCTGCATCACCAGGCCCTGTGCACCCCTCTATCCTTGTCTCCGCACTCCCAATCTGCCCCACTTCTCTGTTCTTGCACTTGCCCTTTTCTTTGAAATGCTCTTTTAGATCTTCACAAGTATTTGCAGTGCTGTGGAGGGAAACCAAGGCCTCATACCTGCTAAGTAAGCATTCTACCACTGAACCACGCCCTCAGCCCCTCACTGATGAATCCTTGACTAGCATCCCACCAACAGGCTGCATCCTCAGTACCTCACTGGTAGATTCTAAGACAGGGCTTTATCATTGAGCCACAAGCTCCATCCCCAGCCTCTCACTGGGGGATTCTAGCAGGTGCTCTACCCCTGAGCCATGCCCCCAGCCCCTCACTGGGGGATTCTAGGAAAGTATGTCACCAATAATCTACATGCACAGCTCTTGGCTTTTTGAGATATTTTCACTATGTAGCCCAAGCAGACCTTAAACTGATAATACTCCTGTCTGGACCTCCTGAGTGCTGCGATGACAGGAATGTACCCCTACATCTGACTATCTTCATGATTAGTCTTATGAATTCTTGGGGACAGCCCCTTGATCACCCCCAGTGTGAGTCAGGTGTCCCCTCTGGCCTCCTACAACTCCACAGCCTTCATCCACAACATTTCTGACCACCCAGGCAGGATTGTCACTGTCTGAAGATGGATGTGTCCACCTCCATTTGCTCTAGAGGAAGTGCTCAAAGTTGTCTTTGTTGCTGTTATGTGCTCAGCCTTATTCACTTTAGAATCGAGCTCAGAAAGAGCCTCATTGATGAGCTGGTAGTAGGGGGTGAGGGAGGGAGGAAGGTGTGTGTGTTCCTGTGTGTGCAGGTGCATGTACACGCGTATGTATGTGTGGGTATAGGTCAGAGGTCAACCTCTGGTGTCATTCCCTGTTCATCTTCCTTTTGAAACAGCCTCTCTCATGGGGCCCTGGGGCTCTCCAAGTAGGCTATGTTAGCTGGCCAGAAAGCCTTGGGGATCCACCTGTCTCAGCCTCCCCAAGGCTAGTATTATAAGCACGTGCCACCAGGTCTCCTTGTAGCCCCAGCTGGCCTGGAACTCACTATGTAGATCAGGCTGGCCTCGAACTCACAGAGATCTGCCTGTCTCTGCCTCCCAAGTGCTGGGACTAAAGGCATGTGCCACCACGCCCGTTCTCCATGCCTGGCTTTTTATGTTGTTGCTGGAGATCAAACTCAAATACTCAAAGCATTTGTGTGCCAAATACTTTAGTGACTCAGCTATTGCCCCAATCCCCCATTGAAGTTTATTAAGTAAAAGTGTGGTCCATTTCTCCTCTGTTGGGCATGTGGCCTTGACCCAGCCTTTTGTCTTAAGTCATCAGTGTCCGTTCTTCAGCTGTGTTCTTCAATTGTGCATCCTCTAAGATGAAGACAGTTCTTGAATAGGTCACTGATCAGGCGCATAGCAGGATGGATGGATGCGTGGCCTTGGAGTTAAAACTCAGGCTGACCTGGAACTCTTGATGTGAAAGAGAGTGCCCCTCAGACCCCCTCCCTGGCCTCTGAGAAAAAGCTGCCCTCCGTCTAACTCTGGAAATCCCCTTCATTGTTCAAACCCTTTCCTGGTATCTGTTTATGATTTCTATGGAAATGATCTGGGGCAGAAGAGATAGAACGTTCTGCCCCAGGTGGGCTAGCCAATGACAGTATACTTGATCCATCTGTGTATGGTCTCTGTGGAAATAATCTGGGGCAGAAGAGAAAGAATGTTCTGCCCCAGGTAAAACAGCCAATGGCTGTATAGGTAAAGTCTCTGGAAATCAGCCCTAGATTGCCCCAAGCCTTTCCTGATTATTCTGTGTTTAGATTCTATGGACAGCCCCTGCTTTGTGGTTTTTCTGCTTAAAAGCCCTGCGTTTTCACTGTTTGGGGTCGCAGTACAGCTCCCGAGGCTGTCTGTGTCCCCAACCAGTTGGCTCTAATAAAGTACTCTTTTTTACTGAGACTCAGTGTCTGAGTGGTCAATTTAGGGAATTTTATGGACCCCTTACAGATGCTCCTGCTCCAGGCTCCCACCAAATGCTGGGATGCTGGGATGGGCTACCACATGGGGCTAAAGCTCTCTTGAGTCCCAGCTCCCTCTAACCCCAACTGGCTGAGGCCAGGATCAGCCCTTTCCCAAGGTGGCAGTTTCAGGGACAGACCTGGGCAGAGTCTCAGGACCTTTATTGAACACATGGTGCTGTTGGTGCTGATGAAGTGCCCTTAGCTCTCTCCCCCCAGCAGTCTCCGGCGCAGTTCCTGGCTGAGCAGTGCTTGTTCCCTGCGGGCACCCTGCAGCACGCTCCGGTTCTCCTGAGCTCTCCGGATCAGGTAGGGGATCACCTCCTCCAGGCAGCCATAGGGAATGGACTTGTACACCGCATATCCGGCCTGCCCTATGGGGAGAGTGGTGCAGGCTCAGAGAGACGCCATCCTGGGGAAAGGCTACATCAGCTACTTCCATTGCTCAGAACATGGCAGACTGACTGGGTGAGTTAGATGTAATTTAATTTTAATTTAATTTTGGTCTTTTTGAGACAGTCTCTCCCTGTAGCCCCAGTTGGCCTGGAACTCAGTATGTAGATAAGGGTGGCCTTGAACTCCCAGAGATCTGCCTGCCTCTGCCTCCCAAGTGCTGGGATTAAAGGCATGTGCTACAATGCTATGTATTAGAGCAAAAATTTAAAAGAAATACTTTCCTTCTTTCCCTCCTTCTCTTCCTTCTTCCCCTGCCCCCTTTTCTGATTGTTTTTGACACTGACTTATTTTTTATCTTTTTGAGGCAGGATCTCCCTATAACTAGAGCTGACCAAGAACACAGTAGATCAGGCTAGCCTCAATCTCACAGAGCTCTGCCTGCCTCTGCCTCCCGAGTGCTGGGATTAAAGGCACATGCCACCATGCCCAGAAGAAATCTTAGTTTATTAAAATGCTGGGAAGACCAGGTGTGGTGTCCCACACCTTTAATTTCAGCATTTGGGAGGCAGAGGCAGCAGATCTCTGTGAGATTGAGGCCAGCCTAGTCTACATAGCAAGTTACAGGCCTGCTGGAGCTACAGGGAAACCCTGTTTCAAAATGAAGCATAAAAATAAAAGAATTTAAAAATTACTATCAAGAGAACAAGAAGTTTACTAGTTCAAGAATTAAGACAAAATAAGAACTTAGAAAAGGGTCATACAGGAAGTCACTACTGCCCCAAAGGAAAAGTTCAGCTGCTGGTGGGAGACTTCACAGAGTTGGGAGGCCACAGTGGAGCTGTGAGCCTGACTGGGCCCAAATTAAGCTCGAACTCAGAAAAGCTACACCTTCTGAACAAGAGTCAATGTGAAGTGAACTTACTGCCTTTCTCCACTCCTAGAGAATGTGTTAGCTCAGAAGACAGAAAAATTCATGTCTGCTTAGTTGTCACTGTGGGCTAGCCTGGTTCACATATCATATAAATTTGTCTCATTGGGTATCTCCAGGAACCTCAAAATGTGAATGAGGGTAAAGTGATTTTTTATGTGTTTGTTTGTTTTTGAGACAGGGTCTTCCTGTAGCCCCAGCTGGCCTGGAACTCACTATGTAGACCAGGCTGGCTCTAACAGAGATCAGGCTGGCTCGAACTCACAGAGATCCACCTGCCTCTGCCTCCCAAGTGCTGGGATGAAAGGGATGCACCACAATGCCCAGCAGGTAAAGTCATTTTGTAAAAAGTGTGTGTGTGTGTGTGTGTGTGTGTGTGTGTGCAGGGTCTCAACATAAACCAGGCAGCTAGTGCATGAGCTTTTGGACATCCCTGTCTCCACCTCTCATTTACCAAAGGTGCTCTGGGATTTTAGACACTTGCACTATTGCGTCTGGCTTTGAGTGGGTTCTGGGGATTTGAAGGCAAGTCATTAGGCTTACATGGAAAGCGCTTTACCCACTGAACTATCTCTCTAGCAAACACAGTGCTTTTGTAGTCTTTGAGAGCCTGCAGAAGGAAAGAAATATGGCCTTGGGCCTTGGTGAGCATCAGTCAGGACCACAAATAACGCAGGAAATATGGCACCACGAGCAAGAACCAGCACAAAACAAGAGAGCAGACACAGAACAGCCCCGTGAGGACCTCAGATACTGGAAGGGACTAGAGGAAGAGCCAGCTTCAAGCTTTGGATGCTAGTGGGCCAAGTATTGGTTGAAAATAGGAGGAGGGATGTGTCTGGGAGGGAATGACACCTGGGGAGAGGGATGGGGGTAGGGGTGGAGGGATGAGCCATTCACATACCCAGTGCCAGGGAGACGTGGTCACACATGCCTAGAAGTTGTCCAAAACAGACAGGCCCATCCAGGGGGATTCCCAGCTCCCACATGCTGTGGAAAGGCTTACATTATCAACTGAGACAGTGGTTGGATCAGTCATTACCCACCCAAGAATTCAAATATTGAAGAGCAGTTGGCTGGCTGAATCTACAGTTCCACATCCATAGGTTCATCTGAGGCTCAAACACATGACTGTAAAACATGTGCATAGGTTTTCTCCCTTAAACAATGTAACTATTTACATATCATTTCCATTGTAAGCTTGATGACTTGAAGCATCTGGGAGGATAGGTACACTTATATGTAAATACTGCATCATCTGATAAGGGGGACTTGAGTGTCTGAAGATTTTGGTCTCCATGGAGATGGGTCCTGGAACAAATCTTTTATAGACACTGAGGGGATGACTGCATTTCCAAACTCAATGATAAATGACTACTCTAGGGGTTTGGTGAGATGGCACAGTGGTTAAAAATACTTACTGCTCTTGCAGAAGACCCAAGTTCAATTTCCAGCACCCATGTTGGGTTTATTTATTTATTTGTCTTTTTGAGACAGGGTCTCCCTGTAGTCCCAGCTGATATAACCGCTTGTAACTCCAACTCCAGGAGATCTGATGCCCTCTTCTAGCCTCCTTGGGAACTTACACACATGTTTATACACACACACACACACACACACACACACACACACAAATAAAATCAATCAGCTGGGTGAGGCAGTGTATGCCTTCAGTCCCAGCACTTGGGAAGCAGAGGGAGGTGGATTTCTATGAGATTGAGGTCAGCCTCTTCTACATAGCGAGTTCCAGGCCAGGTGGCTACAGGGAGACCCTGTCTCAAAAGAACAAAAATAAAATTAAAAAAAATCAATAAATTGGTAAATCAATAACTATTCCCATGGGTCCCCTGGAAACCCTCCCACTGAATTTCAGCTTCTCCATGGAACCTTTAGCCTCCCTATACCCCAGTAAATAAAAGATAATGAATGCTCTGTGACATCTGAGTCTTTAAGACATACAGGCATAATAGGGGTTTAATTTTTTTTTGAAGCTCTCACCATGTAGCCCAGGCTGGCCTCAAACTCTTGATCCTCCTGCCTCAGCCTCTTGAGGACTGGATGACCAGGCGTGGACTACCATACTGGGTTGAGGTTAAATTTTTTCTCTGAGGTAGCATTTCATTATGTAACCCTGGCTGGCCTGGAACTCATTATGTAGACCAGACTGACCTTGAACTCACAGAGATCTCTTTACCTCTGCCTCCTAAGCACCAGGATTAAAGGCATGTGTCACCATACCCAAGGGGGTTAACAAATTTTACTATCGTCCCCAAACACTTCTAGTCCCTGTTCACCACCCTCAGCCCTTCCTTGGCATGTGGGCACAGGAGAGGAAGGGCGAGGGCTTTGTGGGGTTTCCCATCTCTCCACCTCATACCGCTTAGTTGCCCGGCGAACAGATTCCTCATTGTGGGAAGCCACCATGAGGTGGCACAGGGAGCCATGGTGGGACACGAAGCGCAGCATCAGCTCCAGACAGCGGCTGTAACTGAAGGGAGAGGCTCTGTTTCGCTCCCCTGGCAAGTGAGTACAGGGCCCAGGGATGAGGACACCTGCACCAGTTTTTTCCACCTGCACCAGTTCATCAGAGCCGTTTCCTCTTTTTCAGACAAGTGAGTTCCTCTAACAGTGTTCAGGATGGGGAAGGAGTCAAGAGCAGGGATTTTTGTTGTTGTTGTTGCTATTGTTTCTTTTCTGAGACAGTCTCACTATTGAGCCCAGGCCTGAAATTCATGATCCTTCTGCCTCAGCCTCCCATAGGTAAAGATGACAAATGTGTTACCATGCCCAGCAGTGAAAAGTCTATGACACCATGGCAGTATGACACTCACAGCAGAGTCATGTTGCATGCCCAAGATGGCATTTACCCAAGGTCATTCACTGCAATCTACTGTGATGGTTACTCTTTTTGTTAATATCTTTTTTGGTCTTTTTTGAGACATGGTCTCACATCTCACAGAGATCCGCCTGCCTCCGCCTCCAGAGTGCTGGGATTAAAGGCGTGTGCCACCACACCCAGCTGTTAATTTCTTTTTAAAAAACAATTTATTTGCTATTTTTATTTTATGTGTATAAATGTGTTGCCAGAACGTATGTGAGTACACCCATGCTGTACAATGCCTGAGGAGGTCAGAAGAGGGCACCGGATCCTCTGGAACTCCAGTTGTTAGCTGCCATATGGGTACTGGGAATCAAACTCAGGTCCTCTGCAAGAGCAGCTAGTCCTCTTAACTGCTGAGCCATCTCTCCAGGCCCAAATTTTATTTATCTATCTATTTATTTATTTATTTATTATTTTTATTTACCTTATTAATTTAATTAATTAATTAATTAATTAATTTAGAGACAGGGTCTCCCTGTAATCCCAGCTGACCTGGAACTCACTGTGTAGACCAGGCTGGCCTTGATCTCACAGAGATCCACCTTCCTCTCCTCTCAAGTGCTGAGATTAAATGGGTGTGCCACCACGCCCAGCTTTTCTTAATTTCTTAAATTACATCCTATTTATTCACTTCTGTGGGTACGTCGGTGAGGTTGGGGATGAAGGAGGGAGCATGAAGTTGAAGGAAGGCTGTTCAGGTGGGACGTGCTGGGGTCCTGGACCCTGGAGAGGAATTGACATGGAGACACAGGGTGCTGCAGCACTGAGCCTCATGGCAGGCAGGAGTAAGCGCTAATGAAAGGTCCTGTCCCAGGTGCCTCTCCTACCAGATCCTTTGAAAGCCAAGGTAGGAGGATTGAAAGTTCAAAGCCTGTCTAGGGAGCTGGAGAGATGACTCAACAGTCAAGAGCACTGGCTCTTGCAGAGGATCCAGGTTCGGTTCTCATCACTCAAACAGCAGCTAACACAGCAGCTAACAACCATTTGTAACTCCAGTTCCAGGGAATCTGATCCTTTCTTCTGACCTCAGATATTGCATCACATGGGTGCATTTATACACATGCAGGCAATATACTCATGCACATAAAATAAAAATACTAAAGAAAATGTATAAAAGATTAATTTGGAGCCAGGTGTGGTGGCACACGCCTTTAATCCCAGCACTTGGGAGGCAGAGGCAGGCTCTGTGAATTCAAGGCCAGTCTGGTCTACATAGTGAGTTCCAGGACAGCTGGGGCTACAGGGAGATCCTGCCTCAAAAAGACAAAAAAAAAATTAATTTGGGGCTGGAGAGATGGCTCAAGGGCTAAGAGCACTGACTGTTCTTGCAGAGGTCCAAGGTTCAATTCCCAGCACCTACATGGTGGATAATAACCATCTGTAACTCCAGTTCCAGGGTATCCGACACCCTCTTCTGGCTTCTGCAGGCATTGCATGACATGGGTGCACTTACATGCATGCAGGCAATATACATAAAATAAAATAAAAATAATAAAATATTTAAAAAATAAATTTTAAATAATTTAAAAGGATGTCTGGGCTACAGAGTGAGCTCAAGGCCATCTTGGGCAACTTAGCAGGAGTCTGTCTCAAACAAAAAAGTAAAAAGAGGGCTGGTGATATAATTCAGGGTTAGGACACTTTCCCAGAATCCACCAGTGAGGGGCTGGGGCCATGGCTCAGTAGTAGAGTGCTTGCCAGGCTTGGACAACCCCCCCAAAAGAAGAGTTACATGTTATTTTTTTTATTTGAGTGTGTGTGCGCATGGTCTCTTACTGGGACCTGGGGCTTGCCCATTAGGCTAGGCTGACCAGTGAACCTCAAGGGATCTGCCTTTCTCTGTCTCCCAGTGCTGGGATTGCAGGAACATGCCACCACACCCAGTTGTGTGTGTATGTGTGTGTGTGTGTGTGTGTGTGTGTGTGTGTGTGGTATATGCGTGAGTGTACACGTGTGTGGGCATGCTCACTTGTGCATTCACATGTAGAGGCCAGATGTTGAGTGTCTTTTCCTCTTGTTCTGCACCTTATTATTTGAAGCAGGGTCTCTCACTGAACCTGGAGCTCGCTGTCTCAGCTATATTGGCCAGTGAGCCTCCAGGATCTGCTTGTCTCCCCACCCCAGCCTTGGGGTTATAGGTGTACACCATGCAGTCAGTACCCACTGAACCATCTCCTCGGCCCTGTGACATGTATCATTTACTATTTTTTCCAAGGCCACTTGGCCCCATCCCTACCTCCGACTAGTGGCCTCATAGTCAGGCTGAGTGGGCTCTTCTGTCCCTTGGAGCTGTGACACTGATCTCTCTTTGTCCAGATAGGCACCTCGCACCAACTTCACCCCGAAGGCCAGGCCAACCTTGAGTGCAGCCTCAGCATCCCGCTCCAGTCGCTCATGAGTGTCCTGCAGGACACACAGACAGACTCAGGTGCATCAGGGCACTAGGTCTCCACTCACAGCCCTTTAGAGCACACCACCCACCTTCAGGTAGGCTTGGTAAGTGTTCCACACCCAAGGCCCTCCTTCCCCAGGACTGTTCCAGCGAATGGCCAGTGCAGCTACCAGCAGGGAGAGTGCAGGGTTGATAAAGGTGTACTCGGCGTCCACCAGGAGCCTCACATGCTGGGCCCGGGCATGCTGAGGGGGAGAGGGACAGAGATGAGCAGCAGGGGTTGGGGGTGGCGTGTCCAGCAGGGGCTGGGAGCCAGGTCAGGAAAGTGTTACCTGTGCCACTTGGTGCAAGCGTCTGAGAGAGGCCTGTAGGTGCTGGTTTTGCTCGGCATTGAGGTAAGGGAGTTGGAGGCTCTAAGGCCAACAGGGAAGGCAAGAGGGGTTCAGGACTGCAGGTTCCTTCCTGGGCCTGTCTTTTTTTTCCATCAGGAAGGGGTGTGCATACAGAATTTGTTGGAAATCAGAAAAGTAACTTGTAGTGTGACACATGCCTGTAAATCTCAGAATTTTGGAGATTGAGGCAGTCTGGGCTATTTTGTCTAGAAAGAAAGAAAGAGGAACAGCGAGATGGCTCAGTGGGTAAAGGTGCTTGCTGCCAAGCCTGACGACCTGAATTCAATCCCCAGGACCCACATGGTGGAAGGAGAGAACTGACTCCCAAAAGTTGTTCTCTGACCACTCGAGTGCCATAAAGACACACACACACACACACACACACACACACACACACACACACACCTCTCTCCACGCGAGAGACACATAAACACACACACACACACACACACACACACACACACACACACAGAGTAAATTAAAATGTAGTCAAAAATTTTAAAGGAAAGAAGGAAGGAAGGAAGGAAGGGAGGGAGGGAGGGAGGGAGGAAGGGGCAGGGAGGCACTCTGTAAAAGATCAATAACTTCTTCACTACATTTTATATACATTTTAGCATTTTTTTTCCAGTGCCGAGAATCCCACCCGGCATGCTAGGTAAGTGCTCTACTTCTGAATTATACCCCAGCCCTCCACTATTAATTTTATTCTTTAAGAATCACTTCATAATGTTAGCTGTGCTGACACACTCCTTAAATCCTAGCACTCAGGCAGGCAGATCTCTGTGAGATTGAGGCCAGCCTGGTCTACATAGGGAATTCCAGGCCATCTGGGGCTACAGGGAGACCCTGTCTCAAACAAACAAACAAACAAACAAACAAACAAAATGACTTCATAAACCAACTTGGTGGTGAACACCTATAATCCCACCATTCAGGATGAGATAGGAAGACCAGAAGCTTAAGGCCATCCTTGGCTAGCTACAAGCTACATAGTGAGTTGTAGGCCAGCCTGGGCTATATGAGAACCAATCTGAAGAAGAAGAAAAAAAAAAACAGAACCAGGGGGCTGGAGAGATGGCTCAGCGCTTAAGAACACTGGCTGTTCTTGCAGAAGACCTGGGTCCGAATCCCAGCACCCACATGGCAGCTAACAACTGTCGGTAACTCCAGTTCCAGGGGATCCAACAGCCTCTTCTGTCCTCCTCAGGCATTGCATGACACAGGTGCACTTATCTACGTGCAGGCAACACACACAGACACATGAAAAATAACAATAAATAAAAAATAAAAGTTCAGCAAGGGGGTAGGCTAAGGATTCGAATCTTTCTTTCCTTTCCTTCCTTTGAGACAAGACTCACCTGAGACTCCCTAGCCTTGAGACCCTGTCTCAAAAAAAGACCACAAAACAAAACAAAACAAAACAAAAAACTAGTCTAAATAATTAATCATCTCTAATACTGTGAGTCACAGTATTTGGTGAGGGTTTGAACTGATGTCTAACTGCAAAATGCATCCCAAATTAGGATGAATTCAGGGGTGGGTGAAAGAGTGACTAGATATGATTTAAAGCAAGTACTTTCAGTCCTCTGTATTTATGGGTTTTATATTCTATGAATTCAACCCATGGCAGATCAAAAACATTCAAGGAAAGCATTGTGGGGCTGGAGAGATGACTCCATAGTTAAGAACGTGTACTGCTCTTGCAGAAAACCCAAGTTCTGTTCGCAGCACCCACATTGGGCAGCACACAACTGTTTGTATCTCCAACTCTAGGGGATATGATGCCGTCTGCTGGCCTCCATGGGTGCTGCACTTATGTGCACATACACATACAGATAGTTAAAATTAAGCCGGGGGTGGTGGCACACACCTTTAATCCTACCACGTGGGAGGCAGAGGCAGGTGGATCTCTGAGTTCAAGGCCAGCCTGATCTACATAGTGAGTTCCAGGACAGCTGGAGCTACAGGGAGACCCTGTCTCAAAAAAAAAAAAAAAAAAAAAAGACCAAAAATAAAATTAAATACTTAAGAAAAGCATTGCATCTCCACTGACCATGCACAGACTTCACATCCTGTGGTTACTTCCTGGGATGGTTAGTATTTATTATCAACTTGACAGAATCTAGAATCACCCAGGAGACCAGGCCTCTGGGCATGCTTGTGGGAGATTATCTTGATTGTGTTGAGGTGGGAGGACCTGCCCACTGTAGGTGGCATGACTGCTTAAGCAGAGAAAGAAAGAGGAGCAGCAGGAAGCTTGCATTCATGACTCTCCTTTTTCTCATTGTGGATTCGATGTGACCAGCTACTTTGGGATCCTGCTGCCCTGATTCCTCTTCCATGACAGACTGTACCTCGAATTGTGAGTCAAAATAGACCCCTTCTCTGGGGCTGGAGAGATGGCTCAGCAGTTAAGAGCACTGGCTGCTTTTGCAGAAGACCTGGTTTAATTCCCGACACCCAAGTTGTGGCTAATACCCATGCATACACTCCAGTTCTAGGGAATCTGGCACCCTCTTCTGACCTCTGTGGGCATTACATGACACCAGTGCACTTAACACATGTAGGTAATACATTCATACACAAAAAATAAAAATAAATAAGGGGCTGGAGAGATGGCTCAACAGTTAGGAACACTGGCTGTTCTTGCAGAAGGCCCAGGGTTGAATCCCAGCACCTACATGGAAGCTAACAACTGTCCATAACTCCAGTTCCAGGGGATCCGATACCCTCTTCTGTCTTCCACGGGCATTGCACGACATGGGTGCACTTACATACATGCAGGCAATACACACATACACATAAAATTAAAATGATAAAAATAAAATATATTTTTAAAAAATAATAAAAAACTTTTTTTAAAAAAAGAATAGACCTTTCTCCCTTAGGTTGCTTTTGTCATAGTGTTTTATCACAGCATCAGGGAAAGACACTATAACACTCCCTCACCAATACTGCAGAACAATGATTTACATAGCATTCACATTGCGTTTGGTATGGTAAGTCATGAGGCTTTAAATATGGCGGGGGGACGTGCAGAGGTTATCTGCAAGTACCACTGCAGTGGGCTTGAATACCTTCAGATTTTGGTATCTGAATGTGGTCCTACAACTCATGCCCTGAACATACCGAGACACGATTGTGTAGCTAAATGTTAAAGGTGGCAGGTGTGTGGATATTCACTGTACACTTTCTACTTTTTTCTTTCTTTTACCCCCTGTAGGTCTGGGGATGGACTGAGGGCCTTGTACATGCCAGGGATGCTCTCTATCTCTGAAGCACAGCTCCAGTCCCTCACTAATGGATTCCAGGCAAATTCTACCCCTGAGTTACATCTCTAGCCCTTGGTGTTTTGTTTTGTTGTTGGTGGTGTTTACTTATTTGTTTGGGTTTGTTCATTTGTTTATGAATGTTTTGTCTGCCCCATACCACATGTGTACAATGCCCACAGAGGTCAGAAGAGGGTGTTGGAGCCCCTGGAACTGGAGTTACTGACAGTTACTAGCTGTCATATGGGTGCTGGAAATCAAACCTGGATCCTCCTCAAGAGCAGTTAGTGCTCTAAGCCAGTGAGCTATCTTTCTAGCCCCTCCCTTGAATTTTTAAGACGTCTCACAGTGTAGCCCAGGTTACCCTCAAGCTCTTGATCCTTCTGTCTCAGTTTCTGGAGTGCTGGGTTTACAGGCCTGCATCACCATGTTCAGTGACTGATAGAATATTTATTCATTTAAAGTGCCCGCATTTTTCCCATTTCTCCTTTAATAATACCTTTCTCCTATGGTCCCACCTCTCTTGAGCTCTTTCTTTCCCTTTATCCCCAAGGTTCCTTGTATAACCCTCCCTCCCTCCTCCCCTTAAAATAACCCCATTTTAATCCATATCTCCCTTATTAACATGCAGTGTTCCCTAGTGGACAAACTGCTGCTGTCCTGATCCCTCCTCTGGGATCTCCCTGTCCCAAGCCCCTCCCCAGAGCCCCACACACCTATAGTCCATCCATGTCAATCATGCTCTCAAAGCCATCTACATTCCTTACCTGCCCGGAGTCCATGGCTTCTGCTAGCCTCTCTGGGCTCAGTTCTGAGGAGCCCCCTGACTTTTGGATACAAGCCGTCAGCTCCTTCTGCAATGGGATGGTGGGTGGTGCGGTGAGAGGAGGCTGGTGGGTGGCCACACCCCCATCCCCAGCACTGTTGCATTTGTCCCTTACACATAGTCGAGTGCTGCTCAGCGCTGTCACCTTCAGCTGCATAAGGCCGTTCCCAGCCTGGCCAGCAGTGTCCAAGAGGGCTCGAGACAGGTCCACACAGTGCAGCATGGTGCTGAGGTTTTCCTCATACCAGGTCTCACTGTCCAGCCAGTGGACATCAGATCCTGGAGTCTGGGGAACCCCTTCCTGCCATCCTCCCTGCATCCCCTGGCCCCTGGCCTCTACTCACCTGGTCTTGGCAGCCGAGTCTGGCTCCTCTTCAGTGGGCACTGCCAACAGGGGCCGAAGTCCCAGGGCCTGGAGCCGCTGGACACAGCCCCTTACTTCTTCTGCTGTCTCCCCTGCCACAAACTGCCCATAGATGGATGCTCGGAGAAGTGCACCGGAGAGCCGAGAGCCCAGGAGTCGCTGAGACCAGGCCTGGAGCTGGATGACAGGGAACAAGGCTCAGAGCCGGGTCCAGGCAACTTCCAGGCCAGTTCTTGGGGTCACTGCTCACCGCCAGTCCATGGGTAACCAGAGGGGGCCAGGCACATAGCCGCAGCACCAGCAAAGCCCGTGCCAACTCCCCTGTGCCCTTGCGGTAGAAGGCCCCACCATCAAAGCGAAGGGGCTGCCAGCCCCCAGAGGAAGGCCTGGAGTGGCAGTGGAGCACTGGACAGGTCCAGAGCATCGTGAGTCCACACCAGGGGAAGGGGCTGTCAGACAGCAGGTGTACCAAATGCCCCTTGCCCAGCTAGGGGACAGTGACTGATTAACTGGGTAAATCTTTAGGACCACAGGCTCTTTGGGGGCAGTTAATTATTAATGGTTAGGGACAGAGTTCAGAGTAATGGTTACAGGAAAGGCAACCCCCAGTGACAGCCCCCAACAACCTTCGGCAGGACAGCACATCATTTTCAGGTGCCCAAGCCACACTGCTGAATAGGCAGCTGGGCCAGGGTGCAGGGAGCTTTGGATTCAAAGCAGTCAGGCTTTGCAATCTTAGCTGAACAACCTAACCTCTCCAGTTGGAATTGTTTCGGTTTACAATGAGAAGCACTGCAGTTAAGGAATAAAGTTAAAATGAGGTAGCCTACAACCCTGCTGTTCTGTGCCAACTAAGCATATAGTCTAGAGAACTTAAACATGGGCACCAGGAAAGAATGCTCAGAATGGCCCCACATGAGAGCCACCCAAATTTCCATCAAAAGGGTGTGGGTGAGTACATCGTGTTATATGCGATAGCGTCAGGCAGTAGAGATGGAACAGAATACTGAAGCAATGAAAAGAATGAACTTTTTTTTTCCTTTTTGTCTTTTGAGACAGGGTCTCCCTGTAGCCCCAGCTGTCCTGGAACTCACTATGTAGACCAGGCTGGCCTTGAACTCACAGAGATCCACCTGCCTCTGCCTCCTGCGTTCTGGGACTACAGGCGTGCACCACCACGCCTGGCTTTCTTTCATCATTTTAAATTAATTAATTAATTTTATTCTGTGTGTCTGAATGTCTTGCCTGCGTGTATGTATGTGTACCACCTGTGTGTAGTGCCCATAGAGGCCAGAAGGGGGCATTGAGTCCTCTGGAACTGGTGTTCCAGACAGTTGTTAGTCACCAAATGGGTGCTGGGAATCAAACCCAGGTCCTCTGCAAGAGCAGCCAGTGCTCTTAACCTCTGAGCCATCTCTCCAGACCCTCTCTATATCTTTAAATTTTCTTTTTAGACAGGGTCTTGGACTGGAGGGATGGCTTAAGGGATAAGAGCACTTGCTGCTCTTCCAAACAGAAGACCTGAGTTTGGCTCCCAACACCCATAGTGAGTGGCTCACAACCACCTGTAACTCCAGATCCAAGGGAATCCAATGCCCTATTTTACCCTCTGAGGGCACCTGTACACATGTGGCACACATACCATAAATTTTAAAAGTTAAAAAAAATCTAGACACAGTCTTGAAGCAGGAGGATCACTACAAGTTTGAGGCCAAATTGGGCTACATATCCAGACTCTGTCTCAAAAAACAAAAACAACAAACAACAACAAAAAACAACAGAAAAGCTCAGGGAGATGGCTCAGTGGGCCGGTCCCACCAAGCCTGATGAGCTGAGTCTGATCCATAGGGTCAATATGGGAGAAAGAGAGAACTGATTCCTGTATGTTGTCCTCTGACCTCCACATGTACACTGTGATATGTGTTTGCCAACACACACATGCACACACACACACACACACACACACACAAAACAAACAAATGCAAGACAAATTTTAAAAACAGATAAAATAGGGGGCTGGAGAGATAGTTCAGCAGTTAAGAGCACTGGTTGTTCTTGCAGAGGGCTGGGGTTGGGCTCCCAGCCACCCCCATGATGGCTAACAACTGTCTGCAAATCCAGTTGGGAGTTCCAACCCCTCTTCTGACCGCTGTGATTATTGCACACATGTGGTGCACATACATACATGCAGGCAGATCATTCATACACATAAAATAAAAGTAAATTAAAAAATTTAAAAATATCCCCCAAAACAGATAAAATAAAATAAGACGAAAATAAGGATGGGGGAGGGGAAAAGCCTGGCTGCGCAGTCATGGGGGTGGAAGGTTTTCTGGTTTTGTTTGTTTGAGTCCGGGTCTCTCTAGGTAGCCTAGGCTAGCCTACTATGTAGCCCTCTGACTCACTACCCTCTCTCAGGTGCCGGGATTATCAGAGGGTTTTCACCATGCTAGAAACATAGAAAGTTCCTGAACAAAATTCCCAAGTGGCCCTTCTGGGGAGATCACGCATTTTGTGGGGAAATCACAAAGGAAGGGTTTTAGCCAGAGTCCTCTCACTGGTGATGATGGGGTCACGTGGCGATTCAAAAGCCAATTATTGAGGATGAAAAATGAGACACTAGTCAGCTTCGGCGATCCACCTGTTCCTGGGGCCTCCAGCTCTGCGAGATCATCCGAGGTACAAAGCCTGCTGGCAGCGCGGAGAGGCACCGCTACTTCCCAAAGCAAGACGACGTCGTCACTGGCAAAAGGGAGAAAAGACTGAATGAAGCAAACGTCTGGACTTTTTATTGTTTCTAATGGCTCCAGGAGACAGTACCCAAGAACTTAGGGGCTGGGGCATGGCTTAGCGGAGAATGTTTGCCAAGGATGTGCAAGGCTCTGAGCTTCATCACAGCACCACACACAATCAAAACAAAACTTATCTGGCCTTTGTTATTTATCTGCTTCCGTCTCACCAGCCTCAGTTCCCCCCACTCCCAGCCTTGAGTCCAGCAAGTTAGGAAAATTCTTCCCAGCACCGTACACCTGGAGTCCTCTGCCTCGACGCCTGCTCTGCCACTTATCCTTTAGTACTGGGGCCTGTAGAAGACGCCCCCTGCCTGACCAGATTTAATTCCAGCCAAGACCTATCCTCCAGCCCAAGGACCCAACGCACACAGGACCTATTCATAATCCTCAGCTAGACCAGGGCTTCTCCAACGCGCCGGTACCGCCCTCTTGTGGATTTTTGGGAAATTTACAAAAAAAAGCTTGAGCTTGCTTTGATGATGCCAGGGTCCGCCCTCCCTCCCTCCCCTCCTTCCTCCCCTTTTTGTTTGCATCAGGGTCTCAGGCCCAGCGTGGCCTGGACCTCTCTGTGTAGCTGAGGATGCCTTGCACTTCTGTAATTCTCTAAAATTATTAATATAACAAATACATGCATATATAAACATTTAGTATAATTTTACTTTTGTTGAGTTTTTGTGCACTTCATACAATAGTTTTTAATCATTTTTAGACTCCCTCCCCCATCCACATCCCCCACAGCCCCATCCACCGGACCTCATACATTCTGTTACATATATTAAATCCTTTAGTATAATTTTTAGTTTTTATTTTTATTTTATGTGTATGAGTGTATTGTCTGCGTGTATGTAAGTGCACCCGTGTCGTGCAATGCCCGTGAAGAACAAAAGAGGCTGTCAGATTGCCTGGAACTGGAGTTATGGACAGTTGTTAGCTGTCATGTGGGTGCTGGGATTTGAACCCAGGTCTTCTGCAAGAACAGCCAGTGTTCTTAACTGCTGAACTGTCTCTCCAGCCCCCTTTTAAGTATAATTTTAAACGCTAACACTTTCTGAAGAAAATGGTATGGACAGAGTGGTAGCTGTTCTTTTTTAAATTTCTAGTTCAAGTTGCACACCATGTCAGAAAATCACAATCAAAATCACAATACTGCCTATAAGAGAGAATGTTAAAAATGTATTTTTTGTTTGTTTTCAGACTGGGTCTCAAGTAGTCCAGAATGGTCTTGAACTTAATTTGTAGCTGAGGTAGGCCTTGAACTCCTGATCCTCCTGCCCATCTCCCAAACACTGGGATTACAGGTGTGTACCATCATATCATGTTTTAATTTATGTTTAGTGTTTTTCATTCTATTTATTTATTTATTTATTTTTGTCTTTTTGAGCCAGGGTCTCCCTGTAGCCCCAGCTGTCCTGGAACTCACTATGTAGACCAGGCTGGCCTTGAACTCACAGAGATCCACCTGCCTCTGCTTCCCAAGTGCTGGGACTACAGGCGTGCGCCACCACGCCTGGCTGTTTCTTTTCATTTTAAAGATTCATTTATTTGGCCAGGCCTGGTGATCCACACCTTTAATCACAATACTCACGAAGCAGAGGCATGCAGATCTTTGTGAGTTTGAGGCCAGCCTGGTCTACATAGCAAGTTCCACGCCAGCTGGGGCTACAAGGAGACCCTGTCTCAAAAAGACAAAAACAAAAAAATTCATTTATTTATTTTCTTTTATGTGTATGTGTGTGTGTCTGAGTGCATGTATGTGCACTATGTATGTGCAGGTGTCCAAGCAGTCCAGAAGAGGGCATCAAATTCCCTGGAACTGGTGTTACAGGAAGTTGTGAGCTACCTGATGTGAGCTGCCTGATTGGGGTACAGGGAACTGAACCCAGATCCTCTGCAAGAGCAGCAAGTGCTCTTAACCACCAAGACATCTCTTCAGCCCCTTTTCTTTTAATTTATTTTTAATTTTATTTCTTCAAGACAGATTCTCACTATGCAGCCCTGCCTTGCCTGTATGTTGCAATGTAAACCATGCTATCCTCAAACTCACAGAGATCCACCTATCTATGTCTCCCCAGTACTAGGATTAAAGTCATACGGTACCATGCCCATTTATTTATTTAGAACGTGTGTATACACCATGGTGTGCATGTGGAAATTGGAGGACAACTTTCAGGAGTTGGTTCTTTCCTTTCATCTTGGGTCCTGGGAACTGAACTCAGATCATCAGGCTTGGCAGCAAGATTCTTTACCTACTGAGCCATTCTGCTGGCTTCTATTTCAATTTAGGCAGATGCAATCATACAGTGTGCTCTCTTTGAGGTCTGACTGACTTTGTTTCACTAATGCTTATGGAGGCCATCCATGTTCTGTACATCAACAGGGTTTTAGCCAAATGTGTTGCTGTGGCAAAATGTCCAACAGAATGGGCTGGAGATGGCTCTGCGATTATAGTGCTTGCTGCGCTCGCAGAGGACCCGAGCTCCAATTCCCAGCACTTCCATCAGGAGGTTCATAATTGACTGTAACTCCAGCTTCAGGGTATCCTCTGCTTTCTGGGCCCCATGGGCACCTGCAGTCATACCTCTATACAGACACATGTACATATAATTAAAAAGAAAATAAATCTTTTAAAAAATTATTTAAATGGGACTGGAGAGATGGCTTAGCAGTTAACTGCACTGGCTCCTCTTACAGAAGACCTGGGTTCAGTTCCCAGCACCCACAAAGCAGCTAACAACCAACTGTAACTCCAGTTCCAGGTGATCCAGCACCCTCTCCTGGCCTCTGAGAGTACTGCATGCACAGGGTGCACTTACATACATGTAGGCAAAACACTCATACACATAAAAAATATTTTTTTAATTTAAAAAGGGGGCATAGAGATGGCTCAGTGGTTAAGAGTACTCACTGCTCTTAGAGAGGACCCAACCTTAGTTCCCAGCACCCAGAACAGGTAGCTCACAACCACCTGAAACTCAGTTCCAGGGGATCCTATGCCCTCTGACCTCCATAGGCACCTGCACAGGCATGCTACTCATAAACTCAGGGAGACATACATATATACATACAGAAAAATAAAAAAATAAATAAAATCTTAAAAATAAATACCTGACTGAAATAAGTAAGCTGGAGGAAAGATTTATTTTGGCACATGGTTTCATAAGGGTTAGTCCACAGCTGGTGACTCCACTGCCGTGGCCTGGAGGGGAGTATGAGGACCAGGCAGAGGGAAGGAAGTAGAGAGGATAGCCTGGAAGGGGCTACAGCAAGATACAGCCCAAAGGACATGCCCCAAGGGCCTACTTCCTCTAAGCCACATTTCCTGGTTTCCAGCACCTCCCCAAATAGAGCCACTGCCTGGGAGCCCAGGCTTCTACACTCAGCCTATGGAGATATTTCAGATTCAAATCATGACTGTTGTTCCTTCTCCCTCCCTGTCAAGGGAGCCATAGGTGACTGATACACTTGATTTCCCATTTTCCTTTCATGGACACTGGGTTGTTTGCAGTCGTAGGTGTCAATGAACTTTCTAGTTGCTGTGTTTGCTCACATTATGAAAGCCTCTCCGTGGGGTGTGTAACTGTGGGGTCATATGGCACGCCTCTGTTGAGATGTATAGATACCGACAAACAAGTCTGCAAAATGGTTGTGGGGTTTCCACTCACACAAGCAATGGTCATGCCTAAGCATGTTTTGTTTTTCTTTTTTCCTTCTGGCCCTCAGGACTACAGAATGGATGAAGCATTATCCCTTGTTCGTGGTACACTCTCATCCATGTAAAGTCTATTTGTCCTGTTTAATTAGTTGGCTCCCACTCCCCAGTGTTATTGCAATGCCCAGGCATGGCAGCACCTGCTTGTAACTGTAGCACTGGGGAGGCTGAGACAGGAGGATTGAGAGTTCCAGGCCAGCCTGGTCTATATAGTGAGACCCTGACTCAAAATAGCAAGGGTAAGGATGTAGTTCAGTAGTAGAACATTGGCCTGGCATGTGCAAATCCCTAGGTTCCACCCTCAGCACCACAGAAAATTATTGTGGTAAAATATACATAAAATAAAGCATACTATCTTTTAAAATATTTGTATTTATTATTTATATTTTATGTGTGTATTGAGTGTACTGCCTGTATATAGGTAGGTGCACCCATGTCATGCAATGCCCACGGAGGTCAGAAGACGGTGTTGGATCCCTTGGAACTGGAGTTACATATAGTTGTTATCTGCCATGTGGGTGCTGGGAATTGATCCTGGGTCCTCTGCAAGAGCAACCAGTGCCCTTAACTGCTGAGCCATCTCTCCAGCCCAGGATATACTATCTTAACTTTCTTTTCTTTTCTTTTCTTTTCTTTTCTTTTCTTTTCTTTCTTTCCTTTCTTTCTTTCTTTCTTTCTTTTTCTTTTCTTTCTTTCCCTTCCTTCCTTCCTTCTTTCTTTTTTTGACAGAGTTTCCCTGTAGCCCCAGCTGACCCGGACCTTGCTAAGGAGACCAGATTGGCCTCATTCTCACAGATAACTGCTTGCCTCTGCTTCCTGAGTGCCGAAATTAAAGGTATGTGCTTACCACACTTGGCTAATCATTTCTTTTTTAAATATTTTTTTAAATTATATGCATGTGTATGGGTTTGTGTACATGAATGTAGTGTCCTCAGAGGCCAACGCCCTCATATCCACTGGAGCTGGAGTTACAGGTGGTTGTGAGTCACTTGATATGAGTGATGGGAATCAAAACTGGGTCCTCTGCAAGGGCAGTACACACTGTTTTTACATTTATTTATTTTTACTTTTTATGTGTGTGTTTTGCCTCCACATATCTAAGTACACCATGTGCATGCAATGCCATTGGAAACCAGAAGAGGGCATAGGCTCCCCTGGAACTGGAGTTACAGGTGGTCACTGGGTGCTAGGAATCTAACCTAGGGTCCTCTGCAAGAGCAGTCAGTGATCTTAACTGGAGCCATTTCTCCAGCCCCCAATGTACATTTAAAAAAATTTTGAAAATAAACTGAAGCCACAATCCCCTCTGACCCTAAATATACAATCGTTTACAGTTCAAAAGCACAAGGCATTCTTTTCTACAACCACAGTCTAACAAAGAAGCTTTACCTATAAATGAAAAATAAGCATGCATCCTTTCACATCTGCATTCATTTTTTTTACTTTTTAAAAAATTTTATTTATTTATTTTTTATTTTATGTGTATGCGTGTATTGCCTGCATGTAGGTAAGTGCACCTGTGTCTTGCAATGCCCGCAGAAGTCAGAATAAGCTGTTAGATCCCCTGGGACTGGTGTTACAGACAGTTGTTAGCTGCCATGTGGGTGCTGGGATTCAAACCCGGGTCTTCTGCAAGAATAACCAGTGTTCCTAACCACTGAGCCATCTCTCCAGCCCCTCACATCTACATTCTTTTGCTAGGTTCTGTTCATGTTTGTGTGTCAGAGGTTTTTTTTTTTGTTGTTGTTTGTTTGTTTGTTGTTTGTTTGTTTTGAGACAAGGTCTCCCTGTAGCCCCAGCTGACCTGGCACTCTCTATGTAGACCGGGCTGGCCTTGAACATACAGAGATCCACCTGCCTCTGCCTCCTGACTGCTGGGATTTGTGTGTCAGTTTTATACATGTTTTACAGTCTGTGGAAAATGAAACAAAATGGGTAGAATCTGATAATTATCTTATTATTATTAACTATTTTAGATGTAACTGAACTCAAAATGAAGTTCTGAGGTTTTGTTTTTACAGTACTGAGGATTTAATTCAGGGCCTCGTTTGTGGTAGACAAGTGTTCTACCACTGAGCTACACCCTCCAGCCCCTGACTGGGAAATTCTAGACAGGTGCTCCAGTACTGAGCCACACCTCCAGCGACACTGGCAGGTTCTAGGCAAGGGCTCTACCACTGGAGCTACCCCCACAGCCCATTTTTTAAAGTTTTCAGTTTTGAGACAGGATCTCACTCTGCAGCCCAGGCTAGTTTTGAACTTACAATTCTCCCTGCCTTGGCCTCCTGAGCAGTTGGAATTATAGGCATGTGACACCATGCCTGGATTTGTTTTTGTTTTGTTTTGTGATGCCAGGGCTGGAAGCTAGGACCTCATAAAGGCTAAGTGTATACCTTACCACTGAGCTACACCCTCAACCCCTGAACAGAATTTTTTGTTTGTTTTCATTTTTATTTTTTTGCGACAAGGTCTCCCTGTAGTCCCAGCTGGCCTGGAACAGCCTATGTAGACCAAGCTGGCCTCCATTTTACAGAGATCCACCTGCCTCTGCCTCCTGAGTGCTGGAATTAAAGCTAGAAAGCGCTTTTAGTGTTTTTCCTACTTCTGAAATTTTCACTTTGAAAAGTATAAGGACCCTTAGAATGGCTTCCCCTTGTTGAGGTGTCATTTCAATGGCTCTGTCGCTTTGTAAAAGTTTAGTTTCTATAAAAAGATTCCCGCTTATCCCAGATGCCAGCCTGAGTCTTCTTGTGACTTACACACACCCTCCCATGTGTTCTGAAAAAGCCCATGCGTTTGTGTCATATGGAGTTCTCTAGGAGGGGGTGTACAGGGCCACTTGAGCACAACTTGCCACAAGTGCAGGAAAGGGGTGTCAAGGAGGTTCTCACACCAAGGCAGTTCTCACACCAGGTGTCCCCTCAGCTCAAAAGGTAGAGAACTGGGTTCCACAGTGTCTACATCTGCTGCCACTTTGTCATAGATTCTTCTTGGATCTTCATACTTGGCCTCAGACCAGCGGTAGTCATAGGGATCCTGGGAGGCAAGAAGTAAAAAAGTTAGAGCTACAAAGAGATGCCCTGTGGGATATCACCACAGCTCTGGAGGACACATATCCCTGATTAACTTCCCAGAATAAAAATGTTTTAGGGCTAGGGATATAGCTCAGTAGTAAAGCACATGCCTACCATCCTTAAGACCCTGTGTTCAATCCCCAATTCTGCCCAACCCCCAAAAGGAACCAAAAAGCCATGGTAAACTGGGTGTGGTGGTGCATGACTAGAATCCTAGTGTCCCTGGGGCTCCTGCTGTGATTTTGAGGAAAGTCTGTGCTACATAGTGAGTTCTGGGCTATCATGGGCTACATAAGACACCCCCCCCACCACCTCAAGAAAAAAATTTCTCTTTATCTCTTTCTGTCTCTGTCTCCATCCCCCACCCCAGGTAGCAGCTCAGGTTGACTAATTTGAAATCATCCTGCCCCAGCCTTCTGAGTACTGAAATTATTGGCATGTGCCACCATGGCTAGCTTTAACCCTGAATTATAGAGAAGATTCCACCTACACACAGAAGAGAGTGATTATTGTGAGCCGTCTTCACAAACTCCTGTCTCTGTACACACCACCTGACTTCAACACTATCTATTGACCCTTGCTCCATTTTGATTCGTCTCAAACTCCATTTGCATCAAATGGATTCATTTGAAGCAAATCCAAGATATCTCATGATTTCATGTCAGGAAAATAATGTAAATGTTAAGAATATGAAAGCTTTTTCAAAAAATACTGAGAGCCAGATGTGGTGGCTCATGCCTACAATCCAAACATTTGGAAGCCTGTGACAGTAGACTTGTCAGGAGTTTGAGGGCTACAGAGTGAGCCTGGTCTCAGTCAATCAATCAATCAATCAATCAATCAATCAACCAACCAATAATAAAAGCAACCTCATGATGTTAGCTATGGCATTGTGGGATGCCAGTTGTCTGTCCCATGCAATCCCAACACATTTCCCCATCACAATGGAAGACATCCAGGTGTGGTAGTAAACACCAGTGATCTTAGGCTGAGGCAGGGAGATTGCTATTTAAGGCCAGCCTGGTCCACAAGGTGAGTTCCAGGCCAGCTGGGGCTACAGAGAAACTCTGTCTCAAAAAAAGAAAAGAAAAGGAAAGGAGGAGAAAAAGGTCATGTAAGATGTCTTTTCTTGGAGGTACGCTTCGTTCTAGGACTGAGAGAAAATGGCTATTTAGTTCAGTAAACCTTAGAGCAGGTTGATCCATGAGCCAAATATTCCCCCACCTGCTTTTGTATCACCCAAGAGCTAAAAATAAGTTTATATTTATAAATTGTCAGAGAAAAATTGAAGAAAGACAGTATTTGTGGTGTATGAAAATTAAATTAAATCCAAAACTCAGCATCCAAATATAGTTTCATTGGAATACAGCCTCATTTGTGTGCTGTGACTGCTTCTACCATATGATGACAGGGATGAGCAGTTTTGAGGAAGACCATATGTCTCAGAAAGCCCAAAATATTTGCTGTCCTGACCCCATGCAGGACATTTCCCATAGTCCATTTGTGCTCCAGAACCATGGACAGCGCCCCGGCTGCGCTTCTTTGAGGATGGGCTCAGAGAACCTGAGAACCACGCCAGGGATGAGCAGTTCTAGAGCGAAGCTCAGCCCAGAGACTCTGGAGCACTGGTTAGGCCACACGATAAGTCACACTTTTTGTTTTGTTTTGTTGGATTTTGTTGAGATAGAGTCTCGCTATGTAGCCAAGGCTGGCTTGGAACTCACAATGCTTCTTCCTCAGCCTCCTGGGTGCTGTGATTACTGGCACAGGCTACTGTGCCTGGCTCTAGATGTACCACTTTAGTTCTTTTAGTTACTGCATTGAAGATGGGCCTCTTTGTCACAACAGCTTGTTTACCCTAACTGATACAAGCAGTAGGTAGTGGGTTTTCAGCCTGGACAAGCTGGTGATAAGAATCTCACCATTTGTACTTCATCATAGAGGGGTCTCCAGGCCCCAGATGGGCCATAGGCTCTCTCCACCTCATCATACATGTGTCTAGGGAAGGCCAAGTCCTCATCTTCAATACCTGCAAAGTGTGAAGTTGGAGTATGTTAGGGTTTGAATGGGAAGTATCTCCCCCAAGGCTCAGGTCCTAGGGACTTGGTCCACCTAGGAGGTTCTGGAAGCTTTAGTGGACAGCATGTGTAGCTGGAGGAAATCGGTCACTGGGACATGTCCTTGAGGGTTTCTTGCCTCTGGCCTGTTCCTGTTTGGCTCACTCTCTGTTCCTATCCACTACGAAGTGAGCATCTTTCCTCTGCAATGCACATATGCAGCCAACGGACAGAACTCTCTGAGTGAGTCAGAATAAATTTATCCTCCCTTAAGTTCTATCTGGAATTTTGGTCATAGTAGAACAGAAGCAACTAATACAGTACAGAAGAAAAGACAATGGGGGACCCAATCCAGCTGTCAGGGTTACCTCCAAATGGGGGTGGAGCATCCGGGTGTGATTGTGACTCACCTTGAGGATAAGACACCTCCTCCAGGGTGGGGGGCAGCCGAGGACTGAAGTCCCTCATGGAGTGGTAATATGGCTCCACTTCTGCTGTGCTAACCTGTCACACACATGAACACACATGCACACACATGTACACAGGTGCACATGCATGAACACACATCACACACACACACACACACAAGCACAAAACAGCAGATAAACTCCTTTCCATCCCTCAACTCCCAGTTCCAGGAAAGGACAATTAACTGAAGCTGACCACCCCCACTCACCGTGGAGCTTCTAGTGTCCCGGTCCCCAGTCCACTGACTCTCTTCATATTCATTCTTCACTCGGTCCTCCTCCGATCTTCCAGAATGGATGTGTGGATGAAAGTGGGTGTTGACTCTCTGCCACCCATACCCAAACCTCCTCCCTCAGAGCCTTCTTGGCAGAAGAATATTCTTACCCTGCCTCTGTCTTCTCTGATATTTCTGAAAGAAACAGGGAAAAGGGGGTCAGAGATTCTGTTCAAGCCCACATAGGCCTTGGGTAGCATCCCCAGGGTCCCCATCTGACAGGGAGAAGGTCTCTCCTCACCCTCAGCAAGGCGCCTTAGTCTCCGCCGCCATAAGAGTCCACCAACACAGGAGGCATTGGAAAGCAGCAGCAGACCTCCAAGTGCGAACAGCACTGGCAACAGGGGCGACCGAGGGGGTCCTGGGGTAGAAAATGCCCCTTGCTGAGCCTCCAACAACTGGGAGCAGGCTGGGAAAAGGACCCCAAGAAATCCTGTCCCTTGACTGATAGTTTATCTTCAGTATCAACCTGACTGCAGTCAGAATCACCTAGGAAAGCCAGGCATGGTGGCGCATGCCTTTAATCCCAGCATTTGAGAGGCAGAGGCAGGCAGATCTCTGTGAGTTCAAGGTCAACCTGGTCTACATAGCGAGTTCCAGGTCAGGTGGGGCTACAGGGAGACCCTGTCTCAAAAAGACAAAAAAAAATCATCTAGGAGATCTGTGTGGCACACCTTTGGGTGTGTCTGGGGAAAGTTTCCAGGATGGATTGACTGAGAGGAAAAGGCCTGCCCTGAGTGTGGGGGGCACCATCACCCTGAGCCAGGAGCACTAGTGAACCAAAGAGGGAAAAGCCAGCCCGAGCACTGACATTTCTCCTGTGCTTTCTGTTTGCCATGATGTGAACAGAGCTGTGCCCCATACTCTCCCTGCCATGGTGGACTGACACCTCCAAAACTATGAACAAAGGGCTGGAGCAATGGCTCCGTGGATAAGAGCACTGGCTGCTCTTGCAGAGGACGTGGTTCAGTTCCCAGCACTCACATGGTAGCTAACAACCATCATAACTCCAGTTCCAGGGGATCTGACACCCTTTTCTGGCCTCTGTGGGCATTTTCCATATGTAGTACACCTACATACATGTAGGTAAAACACTCATACACATAAAACAAAAATAAATCAATAAAAATTAAAACCATGAACCAAAATAAATTCTTCTTTTTAAAGTTGTTCTGCTAGGCAATTTGTGTCAGTGACAACAGAAGCAGCTGATAGGCTGACCTACCAGAGCACTCCTCCAAGGTCAAAGAAGCAAATGGGCCTGGGGCTTCATCTCCACTTCTGTTTTAAAAATTAATTTCTGGGGGCTGGAGAGATGACTCAGTGGTTAAGAGCACTGACTGCTCTTGCAAAAGACCGGGGTTTGATTCCTAACACCCACAAGGCAGCTAACAACCATCTGTAACTCCAGTTCCAAGGGAATCCGATGCCTTCTTCTGACCTCTGTGGACATTGCATGACATGGGTGCACTTACATACATGCAGGCAATACACTCATACATATAAAAGTAATATACAAAAAAATTAAAAGTTAATTAATTTTGTGTGCGCTCATAGGTGTGTAGGGTGTGCTCCCTTGTGTGTGCATGTGTGGAGACCAGAGGTCTACCTTGAGCATCTTCCTTTATCACTCTCCACTTTATTTTTGAGACAGGGTCTCTCTGTATCCCCAGCTTGCCTGGCACTCACTATGTAGACCAGGTTGGCCTGGAACTGACTGTGCAGACCCAGGTCGGCCTAGACTAGCTGGCCACCAAGCACCTGGGGTCTGCCTGTCTCTGTTCTCTAGCACTGGGTCATAGATGTGATGGCCACACCAGGCTTTTGTGTGGGTTCTGGAGGAAGGGTCTGAATTTAGGTTCTCAAGCTTGCACAGCAAGTACTTAACCAACTGAGCCATCTCCCAGCCCCTCCATCCCTTCTCGACACCCAATGGCAGTTCGTTTCTTTCTTGTGCCAAACCATTAGCAGCAGGTCCTCCCTCCACTGAGTCCTGTCTATGGACTAAGTAGGTCACCTCAGCTCCTTAGGTAGGCACTTAAGACCTTCTATGATCTAGCCTTTTCCTAGAGCTCCAGCTATACACACTAACCCTGGTGTTGGGACTTCTAAGTACACAAAGTAGCCATCAGTTGTTTGCAGAATCATCAAGGCAAATTCACACTCACGAACCATAGAATACCCAAGTGGGGACTGTCTTCTATGCCCATTTGTTCCCCAGAAAACTTCTAGTCATTCTACAAAGTCCATCTCAAATGACTTCTTTCCAGCTCCTTCCATCTCAGCCAAGAGGACAAGGCACATAGCTGCAGGGTGCCTCTCTTCTGCTAACAATGCTATTGGTCTTTGTGGAACTAGCCAGTCAATCTTGTTTGTTTGGCTTGGCTTTAGTTTTTGTGAGACAAGGTTTCACGTAGCCTAAACTGGCTTTGAACTTGTTACATAGCCAAGGATGGCCTTGAATTCCTGACCCTCCTGTTTCTATCTCCTAAGTGGTGGGATTACAGGTACATGCCACTGTGCCAGGCTTGTTTGTTTTGAGACAGGATCTTACTCTATAGCGCAGGCTGGCCTTGAACTTGTGTCAATCCTGCCATGTCAAGCATCCCCAAAGCCAGGATTACAGGCCTGGGTTGTTTGTCAAATGGTCATAATTCCATACCCTGGCTGAATTCCCTTCTATACCAGCTCCATGTTCAGCCACACCATTTGCCAATGGGGACAAGTGCAAGTGTGACAGAATTAGAAACTTGAGAGAAGTGCTAGCAAATCAAAGCTCAGCTTTGATTGCTGTTCTTGAACCCAGCGATCACCTCCATGTGAACACTCCAAGGACTGGCATGTGGCTCAGTTAACTCCATGGTCCCAACCGTGAGCCCAATGACTGCCACACACATGAGGAATCCATTTGTGTTCATTCAGTCCCAGCCCAGCTGCCAGTGGACTGTGGAGATGATTTAAACCTACCCAGACCAGAACTGTCCCAGAAATCACAGAATCATGGGAAAAAATGTGTGTTGCTATAAACCTACATGTCTGGGATGGTTTGTTACACAGCTAAAGCTACCTGATACAGCCTCCTCATGGAGCGTGGAGAGGCAGCTAGCTCTGCTGTTGCTGTTTACTTTTAATTTTTTGAGTCTCACTATGCAGTCTAGACTAGCCTCAAAAACTGTGATGGGCTGGAGAGATGGCTCTGTGGTTAAGAGCACTAGCTGCTCTTGCAGAGTACCTGGGTTTGAATCCCAGCACTGACATGGATGCTATCAATCATCCGTAACTCCAGTTCCAGGCTATCCAATGCCCTCTTCTGGCCTTCACAGGCATTGCATAACATGGGTACCCTTACATACATGCAGGCAATACACTCATACACATACAATTTTTTAAAAAATAAATATTTTTAAAATTAGCATTAAATTAAAGCACATCAGGCATGATGGTATACTGGGAGGCTGAGGTAGGAGGGTCACCACAAAGTCATAGCAAGACTCTGTTTCAGAAATGAACAGGAAAAATGATCTTGATAATCTAACAATTTATATTATGGTATGTGTAAGAAAAAAAATGGGGGAGGTGGGCTGAGGATGTAGTTCAATGGTAGAGTGCTTGCCTATCATGCACAAGGCCCTGGGTTTGATCCCCAGTATTGCAAAAGAATTAAACTAACTTGGGAAAAGAGAAAACGTATAACTTTAGGCAAGATGGCAAGGAAACAGCTGGGAGTCTGTAGGGACTTAGAGAGGTCTTAAGCACCTGTGACCACAAGGGAAGAGACCCACCAAAAAGACCAGAAGTGGGCCAGGTGCTGTGGCACGCACCTCTAATCCCGGCACTCGGAAGGCAGAGGTAGGCCAATTTCTGTGAGATCAAGGCCAGCCTAGTCTACATAATGAGTTCCAGGCCAGCTGGGGCTACAAGGAGACCCTGTCTCAACAAAACAAAGCAAAACAAAAGGTTCCACTCTCAGAGGAAGGGAGGGGCTCAGGGAAGGGACACTTGCCTGGAGGCTGCTCTGTGGGCAGCTGGTGATCCACATCTCCAGGAGTCTGGTCCAGGCCTGCAGGGTGCATAGAGAGATTCACATTAATACCAAGAATCGGTTAAGCCTGAAGAATCCCTCAGTCTTTTAAGCTTTTCAGCTCACTTTAAAACTGATGGAACAGGCATGTGGCTTCTTAGGGACATTTTAAAGACTGCCGGAAATTGCCGATAACAAGGGCAATACATTATAGCAGTTCTATGCCAATAATAACAATGAATTATTAATCAGTGTGTTATAGTGTATGTGTTCCTTTAACCTGAATGATCAATTTTTGAATTAATCAAAACGATGTTGATCCAGGAAAGGAAGATGGCTCATTGGGTAAAGGCATTTGCCACTAAGCCTGAAGACCTGTGTTTGATCCCCAGAAACCACATGATGGAAAGGAGAGAACTGACTCCTACAAGTTGTCCTCTGACCTCTATAGCCAGGCTGTGGCATGTACGCACATGTACATACACACAGTAAATAAATAAATATGAACTTGTGTTGAGGGACATCTGGGAACACTCACTTGACATAATAGGCCTTAACACAAATGATAGAATGTATAAATTCCAGTAGGAGGACTATGGGAGGGTGCCAGCGGGGAAGATAATTAAGATAATTAAGATAATTAAGATTGATTGAGATGTTCTTTATGAAATACACAACAATTAAATAAAAATAAAAAATAAAATAAATATATGTAAAATAAAGATTTTAAAAAAATTTAAAGGTGTTAGCCTCTCTCAGGGTCCCTTAGTAGAGGTATAAATTCTAGAGTAAGGGAGGTGATATCGTTCTTTGTGTTTTAGTGCTCAAAGGTAAGACTGGGCTATAAGGAGTGGAGGAGGGTGGGGGGTTAGGGGGAAGAGCGGGCAAGGCTGCAGGAATGGGAAAGGAATCTTATTTTCCATGCAGAAGAAAAATGCTGTTCTATTAGAGAAAGACAGAAGTAGGGGTTTTAAGGAGGCTTTCCTGGGCAAAGTAAACAGGCTGAGCCCAGGCTTTTCCTTCATCTTTACACCATTATTTCCTACTGGCCCTGTTTGGAAAGCACTTTAGCTATGTTCACCCATTTAATTCTCACAACCATCTGAACCTACTTTCAGAAACTGAGGCAGAGAGATCTGTGGGGAAATCTATATCTTGCTGGGATGGTGGTGCTCACCTGCAATCCCAGCACTCACGAGTTCCAGGCCAGCCTAGGCTACATAGTGAGTCCTAAGCCAGCCTGAGCTACAGAATGAAATCCTGTCTCAATAAACAAAACATAAAGGAACAAATAAAAACTATTTTTAGAAACAGAGGCACTTGTCTAAGGCTACAAAACTAGGAAGTGGTAGGCTTCTGGCTCCTGTAAACCAGACTGTGGGATTAGCTCCTACACTGCAATGCCTGTTAGAATCTCAGAAAATTCCCTGGCCATTTTCTTGGGGTGCCAGGGATTGAATCAGGGTTTCTCGCATGCCAGGCAGATGCTCTACCACTGAGCCATGCCCCAAGCCCCTCACTGGGGGCTCCTAAGCAGGTGTTCTACCGTTGAGTCCCACCCCCAGCCCCTCACTGGGGAATTATAGGTAGGTGCTCTACCACTGAGCTATATCCCTATCTTCATGGGTCATTTTCAAGGAATTTGTCCATTTCTTCAAAGTAACTGCATTTATTTCCCTAAGATCACTTACAATATTCCCTTGGAATTGTCTTTGTTTCTGTGTGAGGCTAGAAGTCATATTTCTTTCTCATTCCTGATACAGATAATGTGTATTTTCTCTCTTTCTTCTCTTAATCAGTTGTATACAATCTCTTGACCTTTGCAAAGAACCAGCTTTTGGTTTCCTTGACTTCTTTTCAGCTGATTTTCTGTTCATTAACTGCCGCTCTTCCTTTTATTATTTTCTTCCTCCTGTTTGATTCTGGTTTGACTCATTCTTCTTTTTCTAGTTTTAGAAGATGGAAACATAGACTATCCACTCAAAGCCTTTCTTGTTTTCTTTTTTAAATTTTAGTTAGTTATTTCGGGGGAGGCACCATTTGGAGATCAGAGGGCAACTTTTGTGAGTCAGTTCTCTCTTTCCATGATGTAGGTTCTAGGAATCAAACTTGGGTCATTAGGCTTGGCGGCAAGCACCTTTACCTGCTGAGCCATCTCTCTGGCTTGCCTTTTTGTTTGGTTTAAAAAATGGAATATACACAATTTATGCTATGATTTACCTTCTACATACTACCTTAGCTGCATCTCCAAATTATATATATATATATATATATATTTTTTTTTTTTCTTTCAATTAAAACTGCTTTCTCATTCTTCCAGTTGTTATAGGTCAGTGACTAAGAGCTGCTCCCTGGTGCTCATCTACCTGAGTTTCAATCTCATCTTCATCTTTTCCTAGCTGTGTGACCTTGGTCAATTTTCTTAACCTCTTTGGGCCTCAGTTCTTTTATCAGTAAAAGAGGAAAGATTATAGTATCTACTTCACTATACCATCCTGTAAGTTCCCTAAGAAATTCCACTCTGCCCACAACTGTCCCTTCCCACCTGGGGTAGTGATGGAGACCTGGATCCCCTTGTCAGCCAATCCACTGTCCCCAAGGGCATTGCTAGCCAGCAACCAGATCCTGTATCTCGTAGCTGGCTGCAGCCCAGTCAGTGTGAAGGTGGTGGCCTCGGGTGGTAGGACATCCACGTAGAGGAACCCTGGTATCTCCAGGGCCTCATACCTGCAGGATAAGGAGAGTGTTCTCTTCAGCAGTGTCCTGTACCCACTGTTTGCCACCCTTCACCTGCTTTGCTGGGGACCTACCTGATGTGGAACTTCTGAGGCAGGCCCCCATCGAAACCAGGCTTCCACTGCAGTCCTATGGAGTGGGGGGTCAGGCTCACAACCTTCAGCCCCAATGGAGGGTCAGGGCGGCCTTGGGAGAGGAGGGAGGAAGTAAAGGAGACAAAAGGATTCTAGAAGTTTCCTTCCAGGGTTTCTTAGAATGATTTGTAACAGGCAGTTGATTTTTATTCACTGTCACTGCACTCAAATAAGTTCACTTTGAACACTGAATCCAAAAATCCCAAATGTTGTTTCAAGGTGAGGCACACGATGAAGTTGCTCCAAACCCCTCAGCTCAACTTTTTTCATCAACTTTTTTTTTGCAGACAGGGTTTTCTCTCTATAGGCCAGGTTGGCCTTGAATTCAGAGATCCATCCTCCTGTCTCTGCCCCACAAGTGCTGGAATTAAAGGTGTGTGCCACCACACCTGGCTCAGGATACAGTATTTTAATCTTTTACTTTGGAAACATTTAAAAAGTACCAATAAAAAACAAAAACAAACAAACAATCAACAGAACAGTGTGGCACTCGGGTCAGAGAAAAGACACTTATTTGCAGGGTGAAAGCTGGGACAAGAAGGCAGAATGTCACCGTGTTTGTCCTTAATAAGAATGTGCTCACCAAGCGCCTCACTTTCCATCACTTGAACATGGCTTTGACTGATCATGAAAGCACAGTAAGTATTGATTTAGGGACCACAAACAAGTTTCAGTGAGTAGATGAATTTGCAAATAATATATGTATGACTATATATAATATATAACGAATGTATGGTCCTTTGCAGTAGTGCTAGCCTCACGTCTATTTCTCTCACTTCCTTGGTGATGAACATTCGAGAACTTCCCTGCCACACTCTCAGTCCACACTGCTTCAGTTAGAAATAATTCCACTCTGGGTCTGAGCGATATGTGATCAAACTTGGCCAATTAGTATCGCTTCCCCTGACCAAATGATTGGTTTAGGGATGAGCTGGAATCTGAAAGGAGTCAATGAGATATAATTTTAATATTTCCACACAGTTGTTAGGAAGAGAAAGAGTTCCTTCTCCAGGTTAGGGGTGAGGCTCAGTGGTAGAGCACTTACCTAATAAACACAAGGCTTTGGGTTTGATTTCCAGCATCCACTCCCCTACCCCTAAAAAGCCAGCTAGGCCTGGTAATCTCAGCTCTTTGGAGGCTGAGGCAGGAGGATTGCTATTTTGAGGCCAGGCTGGGCCATATAGTAAGTCTGAGGCTAGCCTGGGCTACATAGCGAGAGTTCGTCTCAAGAAAACAAAACAAGGGAACTAGAGAGATAGCTCAGCAGTTAAGGGCACTTACTGCTCTTGCAGAGGACCGAGGTTCAATTCCCAGCACCCACATGGTGGCTAACAACTGTCTGTAACTCTAGTTCCCCCTGGATCTGACACCCTCTTCTGACATCTGAGAGTGCCAGGCATGCATGTAGTGCACTACATACATGCAGGGAAAGTCTGTCCTGACATAAACACCTCTCAAATGTCAGAGGCACTTCCAGGTTCCAGTCAAACCGGGTCATGGCAGTTGACCAGAGGAGGGGTCCCCCTCATCACCCGCCTCCCCCAATTGCTCCCATCATACTTATGCTGACGAGTTGAATGTTGATGTGGTCCGAACCAAGGGCATTGGTGGCTGTGCATGTGAAGAGGGCATAGTCCTGGGCTGCAGACACGTTGGCAATAGTCAGGAGGCTGCTGTGAACACTACCCTGGTGGTAGGTGTGCTCTGTGTACCTGGAGAGGATGCAGTGGGGAGGAGACCTGGGGCTAGATGACCAGAGTTGGGGCTGGAGCACTACCTGACTATACTCATGTTTACCTGGGATCCTCGAGATCCAGAGGGATGTCATTTTTGGTCCAAGTGAAGTCAATGTTGGGGACACCCCGGGCACGGCAGTGGAGGGTGGCCGAACTGGTGCTGTCCCCAGCTGCAGCCACTTTAGTTAAGGGAGCGGGATGATCCACCTGGGGGGCAACTAGGACAGGTTGAGGGATCAACATGAGATGTGTGGGAGCACGGGAGAGCCATGGGTTATTGGCAGGCCCTGAGGTTACCCACATCTGACGACAAGACGGACCAGCCCTCGGGCTGCAGGTGCCACCCCGTTGTCCACAATGCACTGGTAGGCACCAGCCTGGGCCAGTGTGGCCTGGTGAATCCGCAGACGCCCAGTGGATCCCTTTGATGTCTTCTCCAAGTCATCTAGGCTCAGGTCCTCCTCATCTTCCCCCTAGTACCCCAAGATACAAGAGCTTACCTCTAGTCAGTCTTCAGATTATCCCCAATTTTGTCCCCATCTAAAGCCCCATTCTTCATCTGAGACACCCTCCATGATCTAAATTGGTGAAATTTTCTCTTACCATCCATCCAATCACTGATCTAATCCATTCATTCATCCACTGGTCTAGCCAACCAACCATCCATACATTTATCTAGGCATTCATGCTTGCTTGGAACCATCCACTACCCACCCACATCATCAGTCCATCTATTCATTTAACTATCTACAGACTTGGGGTACAGCTCAATGGGAAAGCACTTGCCTAGCATGCACAAAGCCCTGAATTTGGGCTACAAAGATTGTTCAGTGGTTAAAGCCCTGGATTCAGTCACTAACACTACAAAAAAAATTGACTGGGCCAGATGAGGTGGTTCACATCTATACTCCCAACACCTGAGAGGAAGAGGCAAAGGAATCCCAAGTTTAAGATCGGTCTGGGCTACATAGCAAGTTCCAGGTCAGCCTAAACATAACAAGATCTTGTTTCAAATATGTGTACATATGTGGGTGTATAGATGATAGGTAGATGATTGATAGATGATAGATAGATAGATAGATAGATAGATAGATAGATAGATAGATAGACTAGCCTGGGCTATGTGAAACTGTCTCAAAACAACAACAACAATGGGGGTTGCTGGAGAGATGGTACAATAGTTAAGAGCACTGGCTGCTCTTGCAGAGGGCCTGGACTTGGTTCCCAGCACCCGCATGGTGACTCACAACCATCCCTAACTCCAATTCCAGGGGATCCAATGCCCTCTTCTGACGTCTGTAGACATTGCACGACATGGGTGCACGTATACACATGCAGGCAAAACTCTCATACACATAAAATATAAGTAATTAATTAATTAAACAACAACAACAATGGGCTGGTAAGAAGGCTCAGTGGGTAAAGGTACCTGCTGCCAAGGCTGATGACCTGAGTTTAACCCATGGGACCCACATGGTAGAAGGAGAGAATGGACTTCTATGGTTGTCCTCTGACCTCAAAATGCACACACAACATAAGTAAATAAATCAATTTAAAATAATAGCAACAAGGGGCTGGAGAGATGGCTCAGTGGTTAAGAGCACAGGCTGCTCTTGCAGAAGACCAGGGTTTGAATCCTAGCACACACTTGGTGGCTAACAACCATCTGTAACTCCAGTTCCAGGGATTCCAATACCCTCTTACATACATGCAGGCATAACTCTCATACACATAAAATAAAAATTAAATATAAATAAATAAAATAACAAAATGAAAAACCAAAACCATATTTACTTACCTGTCTATTTGCCCTTCCACCGACTCATCCACTAAGGTACCTAATCATTTGTCTTCCTTCTTTTCGAAATTTCTAAATATTATTATTATTGTGAGTGTGAGTGTGAGTGTGTGTGTGATGTGTGTAGGGAAGTACAGGCACACGTGTGCAACAGCATGCAAGTGAACAGCTTTCGGGAGCCGATTCTTTCCTCCAGCACAGGTTCCAGGGATCAAACTTAAGTCATCAGGCTTGCATGGCAGGTGCTTCTACCTGCTGAGCCAGCTCTCTGGGCCAGTTTCATCCGTCTTTCATCTTTCTACTCATCCACATCATTGGTTCACTCCTCCATGCCCACATTCATAAGTACATGCACCTGCTTGCCTATCTATCCAGCTACCTATATACCCACCTCTCCATTGATCAATTAATTCATCATCTTCCACAGACCTCTTTCCACTGATCCATCCACTGCCACCTCCTAATCCAGTCTATCTACCTATTCATGCATCTCACTCGTACATGGAGCCACCCATCCATTTCTCCATCCTTTCATTCACCCATTCACCTGTTTGTTCACCTACTTAAGCACCCATATGTCCGTCCATATCCCCTAACCCCATTCACTTATCTGCCCATTCATCTGCCATTCAAAAAAACCATTCATTCCTGGAACATGCTCTGACCAGTGTAGTTACACAGGCTTATATAGATGTGGTACCCACTCCTTAGAAGCGCACAACCAAGAGACCACTCTTCCCTAGCCCCATCTTCATTCACCAAAGGTTGGGCGCTTACCAGCCTCTCCCAGCTGAACATTCCCGGGAGGATGGGATTGGCATCAACAGTGCAGACTATGTCCACAGAACCCCCAACGTTAACCTCAGTAGGATCCCGGAGGGCACGGATGCTGGGAGCATCTGGTGGGGGACAGGGGCTTGGAAACCAGCCATGGTAGGAAAAGCCTCCAGAAGGAGGGGTGTCCGGAATGGTGGGGATGTGGGTACAGCTTGCCCTCTGTGCCTAGCGCTTATTGGAGGAGAGCTCTGGGGGTTTCATGAGGTTATCCCCACTCTCTACTGTGCTTCTACGACCGGTATCGGGGTGGAATTCCACAGAGCTTGGTTTCCTTGATGGAGTAGCTCCCAAGTAATCTTTGTGCAGATTGCATGGGGGAGGGGATGTTTCTCTAGCGGGCAGAACTAGGGCTTCCAAAATGGGATCGTTCTAGGATGGATGGGGTGGACGGAGCTTCCACAATGAGATGGCTGCTTGGTGGGCAAGATTCCCTGGGTGGGTGTGGTTTTCAGGGTAGGCGGAGGCTCCCAGAGACCCCCAGGTCCCCAGAATGCTGAGGGGTCTCACAGTGCACGTCCAGCCGCAGCAGCGCCTCCGCGGTGCCCTCCGAGTTCTGGCAATGCAGCTGATAGAGCCCACCGTCCGCGCGCGTTACGTTCCACAGCTGCAGAGCTCCGCTGGACAGGATGCGATGCCTGGGGCCGCCAGCTGGGGGAGGCCAGGGTGAAGAGCCTGGAAGGCCCGTCCAAGCCCCCGGGCCCGTACCCTTCACCCCGCAGCTTCCCACACCTGGGCTGAGGCGGTAGCCGCGGAAGGTCCAGTTGAAGGCTTCGGGGGCGGGGTTCGCGGACACGGACACAGGCAGCAGCGCCTCGCCCTGCTCCACCGCGGTCACCACCAGCACCTGCTCCCCTAGGAACTCTGGAGGGTCTTCAGAGGGGGCCGCCCAGGGAGTCAAGAGTGGTGGGAAAGGAGAGAGAGAGAGACGGGGGGGGGGGGGGGGGGGAGGGAGGGACAGAGAAATAGTTCAGGGTTAAAGTTAGAGTGGTGACTAGGGCTAAGGTTGTAGACAAGGTCACGTTAGAACAGATCAGAGACAAGGCTCAGGATAGAAGCTAAGATCTGGCGAGAGTGGTCAGAGAGTAAAGATGCTTGCTGCCAAGTCTGACGACCTGAGTTCAATCCCTGGGACCCACATGGTGGGAGGAAAGAACCGATCTTGTAAGTTGTCCTCTGACCTATGCATGCACTTCAGCCCGCAGGCGCGCGCGCGCGCGCGCGCACACACACACACACACACACACACACACACACACACAATAATCAAATAAAATAAATAAATAAATAAACAAACAAATGTAACTAAAAAAAATTAGAACCAAGCAAGGTGACGCATGCCTGTAATTCCAGCATTCAGGAAGCAGAGATAGGAGAATTGCTGCAAGTTCTAGGCCAAAGCCAGTTCTAGACCAGCTAGGGCTGTATAGCAAAATCCTGTCTCACACCTTCCCCAAACAAAAAAGCTGGGGCTGGAGAGATGACTCAGCAGTTAAGTGCACTGGTTGCTCTTGCAGCAGACCTGGGTTCAGTTCCAAGAACCCACATGGCACCTAACAGTTACTCCAGTTCCAGAGGCTCTGACACCCTCTTCTGGCTTCTGTGGGCATTGCACACATGTGGTGCACTTAAACACATGCAGGCAAAACAGACACACATAAAATGAATCCAAACTTTATGTCCAAAGCTAAATACATGAATAAATATTTAAAATCTAAGGTTCATTTTGGAACCCCCCAAAAAACAACCTGGAAAAAAATTAAGCTGGTTGTATTATCACATGCCTTTAATCCCAGCACTTGGGAGGCAGAGACAGGTGGATCTTTGTGAGTTCGAGGCCAACCTGATCTACATAGCGAGTTCCAGGCCGGCTGGAGCTACAGGAAAATCCTGTATCAAACAAAAAGTTGAAAAGATCCATTTTCAGAAAAAGAGGTTAGGGTCAAGTTCCTGAAAGAAGCTATGTGTTAGGCACTGGGCAGGAAGGAGTTAGAGCTGGTATACAGTCAGGGGTCAGGATAGAGGTTAGCAAAGTCACAATATTCAGGATAGGGGTCAAGGAGACAGTCAAGGTGAAGATTGGAATAGTTTGGGGTTGCGCAGGGATGGGGGGATTCCAGCCTGCGCACATACACAGCACATTGAGGCGGTAGAAAGAGTTCACGGTTTCCCGGAGCTCTGCGCTGTGGGCTTGACAGGTCACACGATGGCCGTGGTCCCGGGATGACACCCGAAGGAAAACACTCCTGGATGCAGCAGAGCCCTTGAATGGGGCACTCTGGGCCGGTGCAGCCACGTCTTGTAGCCTGTGCACAGGAAGGGAGCTGGGTCAGGACTCAGCTGGTTCAGAGCTGGTAACAATGGTTGGTTGGCTCCTGGGCACCAAGGTAGCTAGGGTGGGGAAGGACCAGTCTCACCTCTCCCCCTCTTTGTCCCAGGACAAGTTGACTGGGGGGTTGCTGCTAATGCTGACACATGTCAAGTTTAAGGCATCCCCTGGGCGCAGGGTCGATGAGTTGGCCAGGATGGTCAAGTTGGTTGGAGGAACTTGGGGTTGGAGAAATGACACTCAGGGATGAGGAGTCAGTCCGTGGTCTGGAGCAACCACCAAACCCAGCTCAGTTTTGTGGTCCCTTCCCAGGCTTGAATTCCCCAGAGCTCACTCTCCACCACCACCCACCAGGCCAGCCACATGCGCTTACACTGCACCACCAGCTGTGTGGATGCACTGAGCTGGCCTGCCTTGCACGAGAACTTGGCCAGATTGTCCGATGGACCTATGATCAGCACCAGCTCTCGGGAGATAGTGCTGCCTGACTTCTCCAAGCTTCCCAACTGCACAGGCCGTGGGTCCTGGGGCTGCCGTGGCTCCGTCACAGTGCGCGAGTCCTGAGAACCCGAACAAGCTGGGGGACCCAGGTAGCCCAGTCTTTCCCCATCCAGCCCTGAGATACCCCTGTTTGGACTGATGGCTACCAGCTTAGACAGGGCCTTTGAGTGATATGGAAAGGCACTCTCACCAGCAGGCACTCCGCCAGGGTAAAGGAGTGGGGACTGGAATTGAGCACCCCAAGTCTTGGAGTCTCTCCCACCTCCCCCAGGCCTCCTGTGAGACTGATGCCTGTCCTACATTCCCCTCTCCTACTCCACCTCTAACCCCACTCCCCCAAACCCTGATATGCAATATTTACCACATACTGTGTGCCAGGAAACTCCCTTGAAATTTCCAGAGCTGGCTAGAATTTTTTTTCACTCTTCCTTGCCTCTGTTGTTTTTGTTTCATTTTGCTTGAGACAGTGTCTGTAATAGCCCAGACTGACCTCAAACTGAACTCTCTATGTAGCTGAGGATGACCTTGAACTCTTGATCCGCCTGCCTCTACCCCTCAAGTGCTAGGATGACAGGAGGGAGCCCAGCACCTCATCCTACTGGGTCTTTTTCTTAAAATACCCACTTTCTGGGCTGGAGAGATGGCTCAGCGGTTAAGAACATTGACTGTTCCTGCAGAAGACCCAGGTTCGAATCCCAGCACCCACATGGCAGCTAACAACTGTCCGTAACTCCAGTCCCAGGGGATCCGACAGCCTCTTCTGACCCCCACAGGCATTGCACGACACGGGTGCACTTACCTACATGGCAGGCAATACACACGTACACATAAAATTAAAACAATAAATAAAATATTTTTTTAAAAATACCCACTTTCCCTGAAGATTTCCTCTGAACTTTCCCTTAATTCCAGGGTTCTCCTTAGATTTTTTATTTTTCCTTTTCTCTTCCTTCTTCCCTCTTTATTTTCTTCTATATTGATTTTCTTTACTATTAATGCATTTTCTTTGATACAAATTGAATTAATTTTTTTATCTCTAGAAATCTCCATCTTGATCCAAAATTCCTTCTTTTATCCTGGAATTATTTCTCCAAATTTTCCAGAACTTTCCTAGAATTTCATTAATTCTTATAGCATTTGTGTCTTTCCAGAATCTCTAATGTTTTCCAGTAGTGGAGGGTTGGGGGATGGAAGCAGGAGAATCAAAAGTTCAAGGCTAGCCTGGATTATTGTCTCCAGAAAGCAAATGGACCAACATGGTGGCACTCAGGAGGCAGAGGAAGGCACAGCTCTGTGAGATTAAGGCCAGCTTTGGTCTACATAGCAAATTCCAAGACAGTTGAGGCTATGGGGAGACCCTGTTTCAAAAACAGCCAAAAAAAAAAAAAAATTGGCTGAGGAGATGACTCAGCGGTAAACTGCTTGTTATGCAAGTGTAAAGACCTGAGTTTGGATTCCCAGCATCCACATGAAACCCAGGCATGGCAGCCACATCTGTTATCATAGCCCTGGGAGAGCAGTCAGGAGGATCCTTGAGGCTCATGGCCAGCTAGCCCAGCAGTGAGAGATCTTGTCTCAAAAAATAAGGTGGAAGTTGGAGGTGATGATACATGACTTTAATCCCAGCATTTGGGAGGCGGAGGCAGGCAGATCTCTGTGAGATGGAGGCCAGCCTGGGCCTCTACATAGGGAGTTCCAGGCCAGCAAGGGCTACAGAAGAAAGACCCTGTATCCAAATAAATAAATAAATAAACAAATAAATAAATATAGTGGAGAGTGACTGAGGAAGACATTCTGTGTCTTTTGGCACACACACACACATTTGAGCATACACTCGAAAATAACAAACAGATAAAAAAGAAAGACAGGAAGGAAGGAAAGAGCTCTTGCTTGGTACCCACTTTGTACCAGATGAGAGAGGGGTCTGGGTTGCCTCCAATGGCCAGACACACCAGCCTCACCCGGGTCCCAGTCCGGATGTACTGCCCCGCTGGGGGTCCCTCAATCCACAGCCTCTGGGCAGGATCTGAGGAGAAAGGTGAGAAGAGAGACATTTTTCTCTGGGCCTCAGGGTGGGGTCTCTGAGGCCAGGGGCTAAGGTTTAGGGCTCACATTTCACATTCAAGGTAAGTGACTTCTTGAAGGTCTCCTTGCTAAAAGCATCACTGAAAGCTTCACAGGTGAGGGACAAGCCATTGTCTTCCCTCCGCACCAAGAACGTCAGATTGGACATGGAGATGTGGCCACCATGTAGGCCCTAGCAGGGAGTGAGCTTCAGACTTGGGGATTGAGTTGCCCCCACCCATGGTACCAGAGGCCTAAGTCCACCCCAGACCACAGCAGTGACATGTGAAGCATCCCACCCCCTCCTCTGTCAGACCCAGAAGTCAGGGCCCCAGTCTGGGTTTCTCAGGGATCAAGGCCTCCAGGCCTCTAGACCATCCTTTTCCAGATCCTCACATCCATGACGGTTTCATCAGTGGGCAGCAGCTGCCGCCCACCCAGCCACCACCGCAGCAGGACCCGAGGGCGACTGGACTTGGTGACACAGCAGAGGGTCACATTTTTGTTCTCAGACTGCGATGTGGATCCCAGGATGGTAATGGCGCTGGGGGGGACTGTGGGACAAATGGATTGAGGAAAGACAGGAGCCCAAGCTGGGGTCTTCACAGACCAACCCAGATGGACAGGGGTGAGGGATTGCTGGTGAGTGACTGGCTTTGGCATCAGATAGGCCTGATGTAGGGGAACAGATGGTTCTGTGGATGTGGACTGAGATGGACTTACAGGTGACCTCCAGTATGATGTTTCGCTTCTGGGTTTCTGCAGACACACTGTTGTAGGACTCACAGCTGAGCCGTGCTCCATGGTCTTCTGGTCGTACAGTCATCACCAGCACACTGTGGGCCACAGCCTGGGCATGTTCTGTGCCCCAAGCTATGGCCACTGGCTCACCATTCTGGACACAAAAACAGGCCTCAGCATCAGCTCCTGACCCCTGCCCTCTGCCCAAGCTCCATGCCAGCCTCTGTTCTCACCTTCAGCCACTGTAGTGTGGCTGGTGGGTTTCCCCCTAGGGCGGTGCAAGGCAGCTCCAGGTTCTGCCCCGCTCGCACATGCCCCTCTTCCAGGCCTGGCCAACTGATGACAGGAGGTCCTGGGGGGACTAGGGAGCAGAGACCACTCAGTGGATCTGGGACGGCCATCCATCAGTTCGGGTCCCATAATCTGCTTCTAAATTTACTTTGATGGATGGGGGAGATGTCTTAGGAGGTAAGGGTGCTTGTGCTAAGCTTAGCAACCTGAGTTCAATTCCTGGAACCTACTTGGTGGAAGGAGAGAATCAATTCTTGCAAGTTGTTCTCTGGCCACACACACAAATAAATAATAAATATTTAAAATTAATTTCTTTTGCATGCCTGATTTATTTATTTATTTTTTGGGTACTGGGTATGACATTTGGGGCCTTGGACATCCTAGGCTCTACCACTAAATTACATTCCCATTCCCTACGTTTTCAAGACAGCGTCTCCACTGTGTAGCCCAGGCTGGCCTGGAACTCATGTTCCTTCTGCTTCTACCTCCCAAGAGCTGGGATTGCAAGTGTGCAACACCATGCCTGGTTGTCAATGCCTGAATTTTCTACAATTCCTGATTCTTCAGCACCCCCAAATACTCCTTCCCATCCTCAGGGCCCACAACTGCTCCCGTCCTTTGCTTACAGAGAATATTCATGGTAACTGAAGCCTTGATGGGGCTGTCCAAAGCTGGGCTGGACCCCTCGCAGACGAGTAACTGCCCGTTATCCGAGCTCTGGGGCGTCACCCTGGCCGGAAGATTGGGATTTCTAGAGTCAGGTGACAAGATGGAGATCCAAGGTCCCCACACCTGGCCAAGTCTCCATACTGATCTTTTCTAAGATCTGGAATTGTATAGGAGAGATCTTCAGTGAGATGGGGCCCCGGAGATCCATACCTGGCCTAAATATTTGTGTTTAATACCTACAAACTGGGTTTTGCATGAAGAAGTTTTGAGTGTTTCAGTGAAGAGCTCAGTCCCAGGTATTCATTTACAACTCGAGTTTCCATGCTTAAACCCATGGGTTAGAGGGCTCTTGTGGGAAAATCTGGAGGTCAGGGTATGGGGAGGACACCCCAGCATACGTACGTGGCTGTGGCTTCCATGATGAAGAGTTTCTCCTGGGACCCCTCGTTCACGTTAGTGGAGACATCTGATACAGTTTTTCCACCTTAGAGGAACAAGAAGGCTAGAGAGAGGAGTGCAGGGTTTCTCCCCAAGGTAGGTCCAGGAAGTACCCCGGAAATCCTCAGGGTGGGCCCAGCACCCCCTTTCTCTTGGTTCTGGAGGACAGGAACCTGGGTGCCATCTCTGTTCTCCCACACTTTTAGGATGTCCTGAACAGTGGAGTCCTCAAGGCTGCGTCATGGGCCTCTTCTTCTCTTCATTTCCTTGGGGGGCTGTATCCCACACCTCCATCTGAAGCTTTTCATATATAACCTGAGCCACAGTCACCCTCTCCCCCACCCCAGACCTGCAGTTCTAGGGTCTCCTGGGTGCCTCCCCACCACCCAATGACCTTTTTGATCCAGCTGGCCCTATGTTGACCTCAGTGTCTCCCCATCTCGAGGAGGACATATTTTGATGGTGACTTGGGGGACATTGTGTAGGTATGCCCCCTTCCCATTTCAGGGGTGTTGGGCTGCCCCACTGATTCACCCACACTCACTCTGGATAAAGGTGATGTCCGGTGCTGGCTTTGCATCCCCAGACACACAGGTGATCACATACTCCTGCCCAGCAACCCAGGTGACTGTGCTTCCTGCCTCAGGGATTAGTTGAAGCACCTTGGGAGGAACTGGTGAGGAAGTGTCTAGGGTAAACCATCACCACTAAAGTGGACATGAGGACTGGGGCTGTGTTCAGGAAATGAAACCGTACTCAGGGCCGGAGTGTAGAGGAACTGGGAGCCTATACCCCTGGGTCTAACAGAAGAAAAAGACTGGAAGCTCAACTTGTTGGGTACTGTAGGAGGAATATCTCATCTATACCCAGGATGGAGAGGATCACTCTGGGAGACACGAGCTCAGGGCCCATCTCCGAGCGGCCGACCTGGCATTCATATTCTGCATCATCGCTGAGGTCACAGGCTTCAATGTGCAGGTGGAATTCACCTGGAGGTGGAACCCGGGGGGTCAGGGTCACAGCCTCAGCAATTGGCTGGGGGTCTCAGGCTCTTGATTTCTCACCTTTCACAGGATCTCCTTCCAGGTGGTACCTGGGGAAGCCTGGGATCCTGGGATTGGGACCTAGAAGTAGCCCATCCTTGGCCCACTGGACCATACTGCCAGGGGCACTGACCCCACACTGCAGCTCGACAGTCGCCCCCTCTATTGCTGTCAGGTTTTCAGACAGAGCCCAGAAGCCACGAGGAGCTGAGGCAGGGATTGGTGACTGGACCAGGCCTGAGGATACAAGGAGGTCAGGAAATAGCTAGAAGCACTGTAGGTGACAAAGGTGGCAGTGGAGTGCCACTTGGCACTACAAGACCAGAATTCCACTCACCTGTGGTCAGCATTCCTATGAGCAGCAGGGGAGCCCAGGTGGGGGTCCTCAGTATCAGGGTCATCCCAGCACCTCTTATGGTGAGTCTCTCAATGTCCATTGCTTTCCACTTGTCTGTAGCTGACCTCATTTGGGTCTGTCTGTTCCCTGCTTATCTATTGTTCTCTTTTTTTTTTTTAAATTCACTTTTTTTATTCTGTTTTTCTATCTTCCATGTCTGTTTTTTTCCTCTGTGTCAAAGTTTCTTTCTCTGCATCCCCAGCCCACCCCCCTCTCTGCCACCCCTCTCTCTATCTCTTGCAACCACCTCTCACAGGCCTTCAAGGAGAACCCACTGCCCTGATGCTCTATGGCCGGCAAGCCTCATACATGCAGAGAGCCAAAGCTGTCAGCAGCAGTGTTAAGCCTCTCTTCGGACCCAGTCTGAACTCACTCTGATGTTCCCTCCAAGTCTCTCCTGAGTGCCCAGCAGAGCAATGAAATCCACTGTCAGCACATACCAGAAACATTTTTGGGTGCCTCCCCAGCTCTGTGACCCCAAGGTCATGGGAGAGCAGGTCCAACCAAGGCTCTCTCCCAGTTCAGCCTGGGAAGCAGAGCTGGGCTGTGTGGGTGGGAAGGGCTCCCTCCCTTTCTGCAGCCCAGACTGTGGCAAGTCCCTTCCTTCCCTAATGACATCAGGCATCACTACTGAGGAGTACAAGAGTGTGTGTGTGAAACTGGGAGAGACTGAAGCCAACTGTGTGCACATGTGGATGCGGCAGGGTGCATGTGCAAGGGGAGGTGAGAGTCAGATTTCGATTTATGAGAGCATTTGGAGTGTTTGAGTGTGCAGGTGTCTAGTGTGTGTGTAGGGCATGGCAGTCAGTGGGGTGGGTGGTGGTGTGCACCATGGGATCCAAGTCCACATACCTCAGTGTGTGTGAACTTGGTGAACCAAGACACAGATGAACAGGGGCACACAAGGTATAGGCATCTGGGAGCCGGACCATTTGAGTCCCGGGGCTGTGTGAGATTCCTTCCATCTGCCTCAACATCTCCATCCCTCTTTTCTCTGTGTTTCACTCCCCGTCTCTAGCCATCATGATTTATCTTCTTATTCTTCTCCTCCTTGACTCTCCCCCTCACCACTTCCCCTCCTTCTCTCTTTCTCTCTCTGTCTCTCTCTGTCTCTCTCTGTCTCTCTCTCTCTCTCTCTCTCTCTCTCTCTCTCTCTCTCTCTCTCTCTCTCTCTCTCTCTCTCTCTCTCTCTCTCTCTTCTCTCATCTCTGTCACTCCTGATGCCCTCCCCGGCTGTGTGTCACACACTGGGAACTTAAATACTTGTTCTCAGTCACCCTATTCCTGTGCCTTCTGCATTAGTCTCCCTTAGCTCTGAGACCTGATTCTGGTCCCTGAATTTTATAACCATATGTTGGTTGGCCTTCCCTCCCCACTTGGGCGCACAGGCACATTCGCATGGGATGTGCCCCTTCTGCCTGCTAATCTCCTGCAGGAATCGCAACTGTTTTGCTCCACATTCCCGGCAAGCTGCCTCCCCCTCCAGGAGCTAGTTCAGGCATCTGGCCTGAGCCCCCCACAGCCCTACCAAGGATAAATCCTCTGGTCTCCCCATCCCCCAATATTGATTGCTTGCTCTCCTCCCACGTTCTCTCTCCACACTGCTCCCTACAACTCCTGGGAAATAAGCTGTATACAGACCTGGGGAGGGAGGCTCTGTCATGGGGCCTTCACCAGACGGTATCCTTGGAGGCCAGGGTGTAGAGCTGTCAGTTGCTGGGACCGTTAATTAGTCCAAACCTTCTACACTCAACTTTGGCTATTTTTCCTTCTCCGAATGCTCTAGGGACCTCAGGCTCTCCATTTTTCCATGCCTGTGGCCCCAGAGAGCCAGGAAAGGGAAAGATGTCAGGTGTCTGGAAAAACAGCCTCATCACCTGACTTCCTCCCCAAGACTCAGGAGTCCTAGACCCAAGCCTGTCCTATTTCATTACCCAGGCCCTGGATCCAAACACAGACACCAGGAGTTCAGACCCCCAGAACCAGGTGTGGGGGCCCCTAGGACCCTCCTCTCTCAGATGTAACAGTCCAGGCCCCCAGCATTCCTTCCAAAAATTCAGAAGTTCAATTCTCCAATCCCCCCACCCCCCACATTACTACCATAGGACTGAGGACAGATACCATAGGACTTAGGACAGATGTTCACTCTGTTGGTTTTCAAATCCTCCTGGGCCAGTGTGGCAACTAGTGGAAGAGAGATTGGTGGTTAAATCCATTGGCTCTAAGATTTAAAATCAGATTTTCTGAACCTGGCCCAATAGCACTACACTTTAAGCCATCTGAGATTCAGGCCACCAGCTTCTCAGACAGCAGAGACCTGAACCACTCCCCTGGAAGTCCAACCCCTTGACATTTAGGAACGCAGGAGCCTGAGCCCTGAGTGTGACTTAATCCCGATAGATCCAGGAATGTCAGACCCGGGGTTCCAGCACCTCCAGCCCTTTCAGTAGACTCAGGGTCCCTCCCACCTGCTCTGACAGCTGCGCAGCGTGGGAACGCCCCAGCTGGGCTGCATGGAGCCGTCAGGACAAGCTGTACGGTTCCCAGCCTCCCTGCCCGCCAGAGCCGGGGCACTGCCGCCTCCCAGTCGTCGCCTGGCAACCACTCCGAGGGGCCCCGGGACAAATGGAGTGGGGAAAGGGGATGGGCCAGGACTGCGGGGTCCTGGGAAAGGAGGGACGGGGGGCCTGGATTCTTAGGTTTTAGGGTGCGTTGTGGTTTGCAGCCGCAAGGCCGCAGCAGGATATTTTGAGACGTGGGGAGCTTAGTCCCTGTTTCTCAGGGCTTCCAGATGGTCCTCCAGCACCCGTGTGCCCTCTCTCCGACCTACAGGCCCACGGGAACCTGGGCCCCGCCTCCCCAGGGCGCGGAAACTGGCGAAGCCCCAGGGGCTCCCGTTTATAGCTCGGTTTCCACTCAGCGCAGTCTCTCCGGGGCCAAAGCTGAGAAAGTTTCTTCCATTCTTTTCTCCTCCTCATCCGAGTCTCCTCTTCCACCCCAGTAGGACGCAGGTGTCCAACCCGGGCAGGGTCCCCTCCTTAGACTCAGGTGTTCCACCTCCCAGACCCCAACTGAGCTGGGGCGCCCGCCTGCTGCGCAGACCGGGTTGCGGGGCGGGGCTGGGCGTATCCCCATTCATCCCGGTGCGGCCGCGGGAGTTGCTCAATGGGAAGAGGGCGGGTCTCCAGGGGGCGGGAGGGGCGGGGCGAGTAGGATCCCGCCCTCCCTGGGGTCTCTCGCCGACTCCGGGCGCGCAACTGGCAGGCGGTTCAGAGCGGCTACGGAGGCTACAGATGAACCAGACTTCGGAAACTCCAGGCGAGATAAGGGGCTTCAGCTTGGAGCAAAGAGTGGGTGAGGTGCGAAAGGGTGTGCAGGTTCAGCACGTTGAAAGGTGTGCTGTCGAGGAAGAAGTTGGAGGCGAACCAGTGCAACCGCAAGTCTAGGGGATCTTGGGGGACATACACTCAGGATGCTGGTCGCCCTCGTCGTCCTCCTCTTTTGCTTCAGAGGACGTGCAGGTACCCCCGGAGGGCGCCGAAGGGTGTGGGGAGGGTTATTTGACTGCTGCCTCTTTATTAGGGCGAAGCAGTGTGGGGAGGGGGGGCTCCTACTCCTGGATCTGAGATACAATTCTGGAAGCCTGAGCTTCTGAATTTAGGGAGAGAGGGGTTTGGAGTCTGGGCTCCTTGGGTCCTGGAGGAGGGATTCCGAATCATGCTAAACTTCGCTTTTCTGCCTGTCTTCTCCTAGGCCCATCGCCCTATTTCCTGCAACAGCCGGAGGATCTGGTGGTGCTGCTAGGGGACGAAGCTCGCCTGCCCTGTGTGCTGGGTGCATACAGGGGGCTCGTGCAGTGGACTAAGGATGGGTTGGCTCTAGGGGGTGAAAGGGACCTTCCAGGTGAGACTAGCCTCTACTCAGGGAGGGAGGGGTTGGCACCAGCGTGGGGCTTTGGGGTTTGAGCTGCAGCTGACATCTTCAATTTGGGGAAATTGATGGGCTCAAGTGAAGATTTCAGACTCATGAGGTTGTTTTGTTTTATTTTTGTCTTTTTGAGGCAAAACCTGGCCTGGAACTTACTATATAGACCAGACTGGTATCCAACTCAAAGAGATTGGCCTGCCTCTGCCTCCTAAGTGCTGAGATTAATGTTGTATGCCACCCACCATAACGGCTAGAGACTCCTGAGTTTTAAGCTGACCTTTTGGGGGGCATTCTGTTTGGGGGTTATCGTTTTCATTCTAAAATACTCTACAAATGTAAAAAAGCACAGAATACATAAATTGACACTTTGCCAACAATTAGAGACAATTTTGTGATGAATACTCAGGTTATCATGAACTCCCAGAAACCCTGTCCCTTGTTACTTTCCTCTATCACAGTGCAAACATAATGTCTTACCTAACTCTCTGTTTGGTTGTTGTTGTTTGAGACTGAGTCTCCCTATGCAGCCTAGGCTGGCCACAAACTCGAAATTCTCCTGCCTCAGCCTCTGCAGTGCTGGAATTTAAAGTATGTACCACCCACATCTGGCTTAATCTAACTTTTTTGAGAACATTTTCTTGTCTTCCTTTGTGACTTTATCACCCCTAACTTTGCAGTGACTCTAAATTGGCAAGAGGGTTAGAATCTCTCTGGACCCAGCACACACTTGTTAGTACTGTTTAACCATAAAATGTATATGGATGTGGGATGCTCAGGGATGAAGACCTGAGACCAGGAGCTCAGAACTGTGGCTGGTGTGACTGTCTGTCTCCAGGGTGGTCCCGGTACTGGATATCAGGGAGTGCAGCCAGTGGTCAGCATGACCTCCACATTAAGCCTGTGGAACTGGAAGATGAAGCATCATATGAGTGTCAGGCTTCCCAAGCAGGCCTTCGATCACGACCAGCCCAGTTGCACGTGCTGGGTAAGGACCAAATCCATTTGTACCTTGGGGGCTGGGGGTGGGGCAAGTGAGCAGCCAGGATTATCTAGGAACAGCAGAGTCAAGGAAGAGTGGTTGGTTGGAGCTGAGAAGATCAGGAGTGTCTGGCCCCAGGATCCAGTTCTAACCCAAGATCTACCATGCAGTACCCCCAGAAGCCCCCCAGGTGCTAGGCGGCCCCTCTGTGTCTCTGATCGCTGGAGTTCCTGGGAATCTGACCTGTCGGAGCCAAGGAGATGCCCGACCTGCCCCTGAACTGTTGTGGTTCCGTGATGGGATCCGGCTGGATGGGACCACCTTCCACCAGGTCAGGTCCAAATCCCTTTGCCAACATGCTTGCCTATTCAGTGAAACTCAGGGACCACTCTGATCTCAGGCTCATCTAGAAGGAAAGACAGCCATTCAAGGGGTGGGACCCTTGGAATGTGATTCAGGTTAAGAGCCAAGTTACCAGGTGTAGTGGCTTGCTCTTGCGTATATTTATTTAACCTCTCTGTCCCTCAGTTTCCTTACCTGTACAGTGGGAACTATAGTGGCATTTGCCTCATAGGGTAATCTAGAGAATTAAATAAAATAATAGATGCAAATGTATTGTCTACAAGTGCTCAACACATTGTACTACTGCTTGTAAGAGACAGATAAAAAGTTTTGTTATTTTGGAGTATGGTGGTATGCACCAAAAAAACAAACAAACAAACAAACAAAAAAACAAACCAGCATTTGGGAGATTGAGGCAGGAGGATCATGAATTTAAGGTCAGCCTTGGCTACACAGAGAAAGAAAGAAATTATTATGTATCACTTCTTCTAGACCTTGCTGAAGGATGAGACCACCGGGTCAGTGGAAAGCACCTTATTCCTGACCCCTTCAAGTCAAGATGACGGAGCCACCTTAGTCTGCAGAGCCCGAAGCCATGCCATGCCTAGAGGGAGGGACACTGCAGTCACACTGAGCCTGCAGTGTGAGTGCAGTTGGCTCTGGGAAAGACGGGTGGGGCCTGGACTCCTTACAGGGTCTGACAGAGCAGGAGAGGGCCCAATGTGGCATACTGAGGTACTGGGGACTGGAAGCCCAGCTTCTGGCTCAGAGGGAAGAGAGGACTAGAGACCTAGATTGCTAGGTGGAAGGACTGGGGACTGGGCTACATTTAAGTTGTTCCAGGTCTTCCCACTCCAACAGTTGCCTTACCCTCACAGACCCACCAGTGGTGACTCTGTCTGCTGAGCCCCAGACTGTGCAGGAGGGAGAGAAGGTCAGTTTCTTGTGTCAAGCCACGGCCCAGCCTCCTGTTACTGGATACAGGTGAAGAGAAATGCTCTTTCCAGCAGAATCCGCAGGCTTGGGGAGGGGCTAGGACCACATTAATACCGCCATCACCTCCGCAGGTGGGCAAAGGGGGGATCCCCGGTGCTCGGGGCCCGCGGGCCAAGGTTGGAGGTCGTGGCAGACGCCTCATTCCTAACCGAGCCGGTGTCCTGCGAGGTCACCAACGCTGTGGGAAGTGCCAACCGCAGCACCGCGCTGGATGTGCAGTGTGAGCAGGGGCGGGGCCGTGGGTGTGGCCGAGGTGGACGTGGCTGGGGAGGTGGCCGGAGGCGGGACTAGAACAGGTGGTGGGGCTGTGTCTGCTCAATAGCAAAGTCGGGAGGGGGCCGGGGCTTGTGGGCGTGGACACAGTAGAGGGCTATTGCGGAATGGAGAACTATACTTGGACCCTTGAACACGTGTTTTGGAGAAGCTGATCCTGGGTCAGGGTCTGATTCCGTCCCACTCCACTCTCTCCTCTAGTCGGACCTATTCTGCTGGCAAAACCGAAGCCGATGTCCGTGGACGTGGGGCAAGATGCCTCCTTCATCTGTGCCTGGCGCGGGAACCCACTTCCACGAATAACCTGGACGCACCTCGGTGGCGCGCAGGTGAAGTCCGATCTGGGGCTTGTGACTTAGCTGGAAGTGGACCGCGATTCCTCTCCTGATACTTTTGTTCTGTGCCAGGTGCTGAGCTCCGGGCCCACTCTGCGCCTTCCGTCCGTGGGCCTGGAAGATGCAGGCGACTATGTATGCAGGGCTGAGCCAAGGCACTCGGGCCTGGGAGGCGGCACAGCTCAGGCTAGGCTGACTGTGAACGGTGAGGAAGCTGGGCTTTGCAGAGAAGGTACCTGGAGGGCCTTGGAGTAGGCAGTGGGCAGAGGGGACGTGGCCTGATGGGAGAGGGCGAGGCCTTGAAAGGCGGTTATAGACCTTGGGGCATGAAGATCAGAGCTGGGCCAGTTGAAGGCGTGGCCAGGAGGATTCTAGTTGGGGGAGGGGCGTGGCATGGTTGCCAGAGGGGTGAGATCCATCAGAGCCCAGGCCTGGCTTTGCTTTATTCAGAGACTTCTGCTGAGTGGTCCATAGTTTCCATTCCAGCTCCCCCAGTAGTGACCGCCCTGCACCCCGCGCCAGCCTTCCTGAGGGGCCCTGCTCGCCTCCAGTGTGTGGTGTTTGCTTCTCCTGCCCCAGACTCAGTGGTAAGGAAATGTACCCCCACCAAGATCCCTGACCTCCCACCCCTAAAACTGACATCTTTTTCTCATTTTCCCCACTCCTACCTTGCTCTTCCACCACTAACCCCCCCCCCTCCACCCCCACCCCCACCCCCCCAGTCTTTTCACTGCCTTCCTTCCTGCCTGTCCTCAGGTCTGGTCTTGGGATGAGGGCTTCCTGGAGGCAGGGTCACTAGGCAGGTTCCTGGTGGAGACCTTCCCAGCCCCAGAAGTGGAGGGAGGACAGGGTCCAGGCCTGATCTCTGTGCTGCACATTTCTGGGACCCAGGAATCCGACTTTACCAGGGGCTTCAACTGCAGTGCCCGAAACCGCCTGGGCCAGGGAGGAACACAGGTCCACCTGGGCCGTAGAGGTGAGATACTGACCCAAAGACCCTGTAACCTGGAGATTCCATACCCTACAAATGCAGTGATTCCCCAGATGGAGGCTAGCAACCCATAAGGCAGAGACTCCCTAAATCCTGATAATCTCAGAACTGTGAGTTTAGATTGACAAACTGGCTCAGCAGGTAAAGGTGTTTGATGCTAAGCTTGATGACCTGAGTTCAATCCCCAGGAGTCACATGGTGGAAGGAGAGAATCAACTCTGGCAAGTTGTCCTCTGACTTCCACTTGTACACCATGGCATGCACGAGTGTGCACAGGGAAGCACACACACACACACACACACACACACACACACCTACGCATATATACACATACATGCACTAAATTAAAAATGTAATAAGGGTTGAGCTAGAGAGATGGCTTAATGGTTAAGAGCATTGGCTGCTCTTGCAGAGAACCTGAGTTCAAATCCCAGCATCCACATGTCAGCTAACAACCATCTGTAACTCCAGTTCCAGGGGATCTGACTCCCTCTTTTGGCTTCCAAGGGCACTGTATGACACAGTGCACTTATATGCAGGCATAACACTCATACACATAAAATAAAAATTAAAAGTTTTTTAAACTTTTCAAAAATGTAATGAGGGCCTGGAGAGGTGGTTCAGCAGTTAAGAGCACTGACTGCTCTTACAGAAGGTCAGAGTTCAGTTCCCAGCACCCACAAGGCAACTCACAATAGTCTGTAACTCCAGTTCCAAGTGATCTAACCCCTTCTTCTGGCTTCCAGAGACACTGTATGAATGTGGTGCACTTACATGCATGCAGACAAAACATTCATACACATAAAAGTAAATAAAAAATTAAAAATGTAATAAAAATGTAAAAGCCTAGGACCTCAAAGCAATAAAGTCCCTCAAATACAGAACTTCAAATGGAAAGGTCATTCATGCTAGAAACGAACAAATAAAAAGAAATCGCAAATAAAAGACCCTCAAAATCTAATTCTAAGGCTCCCTAAAGCCAGGGAGTTTGTTTTGTTTATTTATTTATTTATTTATTTATTTATTTATTTTTGTGTGTATTTGTGTGGGGGCACATTCATGTCACAGCACAGGTGTGCAGATCAGACAGCTTTTAAGAATCAGTTCTTTCCTTCCACCATATGGGTCGAGGGATGGAACTCAGGTCATCAGGCTTGGTAGCAATTGCCTTTACTCACTGAGGCATCTTGCCAGTCCTGTTTGCTTTTTTATTATTCATGGTTTGTTTTGTTTTGTTTTTCTGAGGCAGGGTCTCATGTATCCCCAAATGACCTCAAACTATTGGCAATCCTTCTGCCTTAGCTAAATGTTGTGATTATTCATGTGACCCACCAAGACACTTTAAACTCACATACTCTCAAACTGTGAGAACACTCAATTAATGGGTCCTCAAACCCTAAACCTGTCACATTGTGAATCTAGGGAAATCCCAACTTGGTGACTTTTTCAATCTAGGGATTCCAAATCCAAGCCTGAGCCCCAGTTCCCCCGTTGTCCCCCATCTTCAGATCAGCCTTCTCAGATAACCCCATCTACTCCTTATAGACCTGCTGCCCACTGTGCAGATCATGGCTGGAGTAGCCTCTGCGGCCACCACACTCCTTATGGTCATCACCGGAATAGCCCTCTGCTGCTGGCGCCATGGCAAGTGTCAGCGTCTTGAACCTGCCTCAGCCCCCCATGCCTCCTTGTGTCTGTCTCCATCCATGCTGACTGCCGGCCTTGGGACCGCTCCAGACCAGCTTCCATAATCCAAACAGGGCTTGGTCCATCCAAGGTTCAAGTTCCCTCTTTTAGTCCTAACTCACTTTCTCCAGGGTCACCCACCCGCACTCCTCCTCTCCCAAGCCAGGATTCTTACTGGTTTCCATCTTCCCTCCCCATCTTGCCAAATCATCTGTGTTCCCAAGTACTGATCTTCACAAACTATGACCACGCCCACTTCTTACCTCTGCTTCTCATTCTCCTGGGTCTCAGCCTCTTTCTCCAAGCAAAAGAACTTGGTACGTATCCCAGGAAGCAGCGATGGCTCCAGTTCACGTGGCCCTGAGGAGGAGACAGGCAGCAGTGAGGAACGGGTAAGAGACTGGAATTCTTAGACTGGACTGTGCTTTCAGAACCCAATAATAACTTGGTCCAATTGACTCTCAAACTCAAAATGCCCTCGGTCCTAACAGGGACCCCAGACCCAAATACCCCCACAGCTGCAAATATGCTCTTGACTCAATTATTCCCTCGGCTCAATATGTCCCCCACCTTCTTTATTGTCTGAAGTCCAGCCTCCAGCTCCAAGGTCTGGCCTCCAAAGGAAAGCTGTGAGGGCACTTGCGGTCTGGTACTGGGACAGGATGATTTTATTTTATTTCATTCATTTATTTTATCCTATGTGTGTGAGTGGTTTGCCTGTATTGTGTAAGTGCACCACATGTGTAAAGTGACCACAGAGGCCAGAAGAGGGCATCAGATCTCCTGGAACTGGAGTTATGGACAGTTGTGAACTGCCATGTGAATGCTGAGAACTGAACCCTGGTCCTCTGCAAGTGCAGCCAGTGCTCTTAACCACTAGGCCATCACTCCAGCACCCCAGAATGATCTGATCATTGCCTGCCACTATTTTTCCTACCCCAGGGTCCCATTGTGCACACAGATCACAGTGACTTGGTTCTCAATGAGAAAGAGGCTCTGGAGACCAAGGTGAGTATTGGGGGAGGGGCTCACTCAGTCTTATGATCTCCAATTTTACTCCCCCTTTTTAAAGAAAAAAATGGAGACAGAGTCTCACACTGTAGTTGACCTTGAACTCATGGCAGTCCTTCTCCCTCAGTCTTTGGAGTGCTGGGATTGCAGGCTGAGCCTACAGACATGAGCCACCCCACCTTTTTTTTTTTCGGTCTTTTTGAGATAGGTCTCCCTGCAGCCACAGCTGCCTGGATTCACTACGGAGACCAGGCTGGTTTCCAACTCACAGAGCTCTACCTGCCTCTGCCTCCCGAGTGCCCAACTTGTCTTCTTTTTTTAAAAATTTATTTATTTTATTATTATTTTTCCCATTCTTTTGAGACAGGGTCTCCCTGTAGCCTCAGTTGGCCTGAACTCGCCATGTAGACCAGACTGGCCTTGAACTCACAGAGATTCACCTGCCTCTGCCTCCCAAGTGCTGGGATTAAATGCATGTGCCACCACGCCCAGCTTATTTTATTTTTTTATGTGTATGAGTATATTGCCTGCATGTATGTAAGTGCACCCATGTCCTGCACCCATGTCTGTGGAGGTCAGAAGAGAGCACAGGATCCCCTGAAACTGGAGTTACAGACAGTTGTTAGCTGCCATGTGGGTGTTAGGAACTGAACCTGGGTCCTCTGCAAGAGCAGCCAGTGCTCTTAACCACTGAGCCATCTCTCCAACCCCATGTCTCCTTTTTGATTTTGCCACCTTAAGACCTACCCCTAACCCCCTCCTGCCTGCTGGACCAGCTCATCCAGCTCTACAGCCTTGGCTTATGTTTTCTATTTATTTTGCCTTGGTCTCCGGCTGGAGTCCCCTGACCAGGCCTTCTTTCCCCATCCAGTCATGTTTAGACTTCTGAGTGCCTGGATGCCTCTTTCTGGATGGCTGCACTTCTCTAGCCAGGCCTCTTCCTCCCACTAGATCCCACCCTGGCCTTACATTTCCTAAAACTGTCCCCACTTTGGAATCCTATCTCAAGATAGCTCCATTCAACCCTGGTTCCCCTCCCAAAGCCCCCCTCACTTTTTTTTTGTTATTGTTGGTGTTGTTTTGAGACAGGGTCTTATGTATCCCAGGTTGACCTCAAACTTGATATAGAATGATTCTGATTTTTTTTTTTTGAGACAGGGTCTCCCTGTGGCCCCAGCTATCCTGGGACCCACTATGGAGACCAGACTGGCTTGGAACTCACAGAGATCCACCTGCCTCTGCCTCCCAAGTGCTAGGATTAAAGGTGCCACTTGTGTACCATCGTGCCTGGCTTTTGATCTTGAATTCTTTTAAAAATATTATTATTATTTCTTTTATTTTACATGTATGAGTGTATTGCTTGCAGGTATGGATGTAGCTCAGTGTATCTCTCTACCATGATCGTTGCTTCTTTGGACTCTCACATTCCTTATTAAGTCCCATTTGCCCTTCAGGATCCAACCAACGGTTACTACAAGGTGCGAGGGGTCAGTGTGAGCCTGAGCCTTGGGGAAGCCCCTGGAGGAGGCCTTTTCCTGCCACCCCCCTCTCCGATGGGACTTCCAGGGACACCCACCTACTATGACTTCAACCCACACCTGGACATGCCCCCTTGCAGACTCTACAGAGCACGGGCAGGCTATCTCACCACACCTCATCCTCGTGCTTTCACAAGCTACATGAAACCCACATCCTTTGGAACCCCAGATTTGACCTCTGGGACTCCCCCTTTTCCCTATGCTGCCTTGTCTACACCCACCCACCAGCGTCTCCAGACTCATGTGTGAGGACATCTCTCCAACTGAAGAGTCTTAGGGTTTTCAACTTGCCATAGTGGGTCATCTTGATTTCTGATGAATCAGAAAAAGTGGACAACCTACTCTTCCAAAGCTGAACATTGAGAAAGGGAGAGATATTATGATTGTCAGGATCACTGGTGTATAATCAGCTCTGCCAAAGGGGGTGATGCTCCAAGTGGGAGCAAAATGGCCGTATGGCTCACTTATCCTCCTGTGTGAAAGAGATTCAAGATGCTGGCTAAGCTCGTTTCAGAAGGATGAGAACAGGAGGTGATAAGGATTAGGGGTACAGATGGAAGTCATTTCTAGCCAGTAAGAAAAGACATTTCAAAATGACCATCTGCATCAAGAATAATGACAGCATAAGACAAATCAAGACAGGGATAATTCCCCCAACACCCTGTCCTGGCTTTCCCCCTGACAGAGCTTTTTTTTTTTTTTTTTTCTGGCCAACACCAGGACAGCGCAGATGACTGTTCATTCTCTGAGAGCCCAAAATGACCATCATCTTGATTATTTCCACTTTCCTTAAAGACTCAGAAAGGACTGGATCCAAGGAGTGGCGACAGAAGCAAAATAAAGAGAATAAAGGGGAATCTTGGGATAAGATTATTTATTTTTAATTTTTAAAAAAAATTCAAACAGCCGGGCGTGGTGGCGCATGCCTTTAATCCCAGCACTCAGGAGGCAGAGGCAGGCGGATCTCTGTGAGTTCGAGGCCAGCCTGGTCTACATAGTGAGTTCCAGGCCAGCTGGGGCTACAGAGAGACCCTGTCTCAAAAAAGACCAAAAGAAAAAAAAAAAAGTCAAACAGACAAATGTGCCTGGAAGATTCTTCCATGAAGGAAGAGGTTCAAGGAGGTTGTCCTATGAGGTGTCAGTAGGAGAAAACCCGATCACCTCTCAGTCCTTTGCTACCTCCTTAGTACTGTAGGCCCCCTCCCCCTCCCCCTC